TCTTCCTCCACAGGCCTACGAGCTCGCGGCGCGCGGCCTCGGCCACTGGGTCAAGTCGCACTTCATCCCAACTCAGTACGACGACAACGGCAACTCGCACCCCGTCCGCCGCAGCCTCTCGGAGGCCGGCGACTTCGAGGCCCGCGGACTGGAGGCAGAGGCGCTGCAGCGCTCCCTCGAGGTACGTGGCAAGGTGGGCAAGTGGATTGGCAAGAAGGTGGTGGCGAAGCTCAAGAAGGTGCTCCCCACTTACGGAGTGCACCCTTCTCCTTCTCGCCGGTTTGAGCAGCAGACCGAGGATGAGGCGCGTGGGCCTCGGACGCTGGCTGGACGGCCGGTGAGGAATGCCCTTGCTGACGCTACGACCTGCACAGGATGAGCTCGACGCACGCGGTCTCGGCCACTGGGTCAAGACGCACATGGACTACGGCACGCTCGTCGACGGCCAGAAGGGCCCGAAGAACCCCGACGCAAAGTGGCGCCGCTCCGTGGACGCTGACTCGCACTCGCTCGGAGACGTCGAGGCGCGCGGTGTCGGTAAGTACATTGGCAAGAAGGTGGTGGCCAAGCTCAAGTATGAGCTGCCCTTCCGTGGCGTCTACCCGTCGCGCCGCTCCGATGAAGGCGAGCCTGCAGGCGAGCTGGAGGAGCGCGGCACCGTGGGGAAGAAGATCGGCAAGGCGGTGGTGGCGAACTTGAAGGTTGTCCTGCCTAAGCACGGCATTTACCCCTCTCGCCGTTCAGATGAGGACGAGCTCGCCGCCCGCAACCTCATCGACGTCGACATGGCGCCCACCTCGGTCATGTACAGCCGCGACGCGGACCTCCTCGGCGCGCGCGGCTTCCGCGACATCTTCCACCACGACGAGGAGCTCGAGACCATCGGCGAGCCGCACGGCCAGGTGCAGCAGATCCAGCGCGACGACCTCGAGGTGAGAAAGCTCGGCGCCAAGCTCTCGAACTTGATCAAGGGAAAGGGCAAGGGCAAGAAGGACAAGAGCAGCGACGGCGGCAGCGCCTATCGAGCGGGCTCGGCTGACGCCGCGCCGCAGGACATCGGCCCCATCCGCCGCGACGCCGACGCGGAGCTTCTCGAGCGCGGCGTCAACAAGAAGACCATGGCCGGCAGCGTGTTCGGCCACAAGACGAAGTAGCGCAACACCGGGCGCGACATCGACGCCCGCTCGGCAGACCAGGCCGAGCAGGAGGAGCGCGACATCTTCGACGCCATGCACAAGGCCGGCCAGCACATCGAGAAGAAGCTGAATGACCACGGCTACATCATCGCCCGCTCGGCAGACCAGGCCGAGCAGTCCGAGCGCGGTCTCAAGCACTGGATGGACGAGCACGGCTACGTCTTCATTCGCTCCGCCGCCGACGAGGTGAGTTGCGCGCCCGGCGGGCCTGCGCCATCACTGACACACTCGGGTGCTCCAGGCCAGCGAGCTCGAGGCACGCAAGAGCAAGAGCAAGTCCAAGAAGCCCAAGAAGAACAAGGAGGAGGAGGAGCCGGCGCCTGCCCGCGGCGGCCGCGCCAGGCTGCGCCTCGGCGGCCGCGACATCGAGGACCTGGGAGCTCGCGAGGCGGCCCAGGTGCGTAGCGCGTGAGGCGGTGCTTAACCGTTTGCGAGGTGGTGAGCTAGGCGCGCTAGCATCCTCTTGACGTTTCTGACGCATCGCGCTCACAGGCCGACGAGCTTATGGCCCGCGGCCTCGGCCACTGGCTCAAGGAGAAGATAGGCCTGCACCCAGCCCAGATTGTCGACGGCCAGCAGGCACCGCCCAACCCTAACGCGGTGCCCCGGCGCGCACTCGACGACGATCTCGCGGCGCGCGGCAAGTTCAAGGAGTGGCTCGACTACCAACTCACCCGACCACTCTGAGTAGCCCGCCGCTGCCCTCGCCCTCTCGGACCACCTCTCCTCTTTGCGCTCCTCCCTCGCTCCTCTCTCGCTCCTCGTCCTTTCGCTCGCCCCCGCCCGCTCGCCCTCCGCTCTTCGTCCGTCCTTCGCCCTCCGCCTTCGCCCCTCCTCTGACCCCGCCCTCGTCCTCACCTTGTCCTCACCGCCACCTCGACAGCCACCCTCGTCCGCCGCCATCTTCATCACCGCCACCTTTCACCAACCACCTTTCACTCACGACCCCCCCCCCCCCCCCCCCCCCCCCCCCCCCCCCCCCCCCCCCCCCCCCCCCCCCCCCCCCCCCCCCCCCCCCCCCCCCCCCCCCCCCCCCTCCCCTCCCTCCCCTCTCTCCCCTTCCCCGACTGTCATTTCCCCTCCTTAAGCCGCGCTGACCGTTTCGTGGTCGCGCGCACGTTCCGTTCCCCAATGCATGCCTTTGCGCTGCAGCCCCCCTTACATCTTTCGTCTGACTTGTGTGATCGAGAGCTGCAGAGGCGCGAAAGGATCGCTGCCTTTCGCCGCGCACGCCGAGTCTTCGAGCTTGGCACTTTTGCAGCGGACGCATCGGCATTGCTAGCTCTCCGCGCCGCCGTCGAGCAAGCGGCGCCACTCATCAATCGTCTCCTTCGGGTAGACAAGCCACTCATCCCATGCATCCAGGACGACCCTGACTCCCGCCCTCGCCGCCTCCTGCCTCAGTCGTCCGCCCAGGCTGCGCGCCACGTCGGCGAAATGCCGCATCACCGTCGGCAAACGAGCCTCGAGCGCTGCACGGTACTTCCACGCGTGCGGCAGTGGGGCGGCACTGTTGTGCAGGATGTCGGAGACGACGTGAAGACGGGCTAGCTTGCGAGCTAGAGGCGTTGAGGGCTGCAGGAGTGAGGCGACGAGGATCTCGGAGATCTGAGTGCGAGTGTCAGTGGGCTCTGGCGCTAGGCGTCGGGAGAGAGTGCTCACCGTCTCGGAAGCATGTCCCCGCTCGATGGCAAACGCCATAGCGCGAGCGATGCGCTCTCGCCGCGGCGTAATGCCTCGCAGCATCGCCTCGAAGCGTCGACGAGCAGCAGGCGACAGCTCGTCGCCGCGGCGATTGCGCATGTTCTCGGCCTCGGCTTCCTCCTCCGAGTCGCTCGAGTAGAGCGATGCATAGCCCTGGAAAACCCGTGTCAGCCGCGTGCGACGCGAAACGGGGCGAGCAACTCACCTCGTCGCTGAAGGGCGGTGCTTCGATGTGTGGGATGTAAGTCGGATCGACGAGCGAGGCGAAGTACTGATAGGAAGGCAGCTGTTCTCAAGTCATCAGCAATGCCCTCCTCCATCCCACCGCACGACCTCGCACTCACGTTCTCATCGCGCAAGAACTCAAAGCGCGGATTCGCGCGCTCACGATCCCGGACGACGTTGAGGAACTTATCGCCGTACTCTCTCGCATGCGGTGCAATCTCTTGCATGGTGCGCAGCAGCGGCGCATCGTAGATCTCGAGCCGCTCGCGGAGGACACTGCAGGGACTCGTACTGCGCCCGCGCGTGCGGCGATGAGGACGAGGGCCGCCTTCGGGAGAGCGAGGACGCAGACGGACGGGAGAGGTGCCGCGCCGACGTTCTTGCTTTGCGAAGCTTGATTGCGCTGTCCATCATCGCGTCAGCTGCCACGTCACACATCTATGCTGGCTCTGCAACGTACGATAAAGTGCTCGCGCCGGCTTTGGCATCCCCTTGCCCCAGCTAGTGGACAGCGTAGCGCCGTTTGACTCCCACTTTGCCCCGTCGGCATGCTGCATCGCATACTCTGCGTCCTCGCGACGCATAAAGCTCACGAAGCCTACGAGGCCCTTGAGTGCGCCGGCGCCCATGTCGGGTCGATGATCGCGCGGATACATGATCTGCGCCGCTTCGCTCAGCCATGCGTCGAGCGGGCTGAGATGGAAAGCTCACCTTGACGGTAGCGACGTCGCCGTAGCGCGCAAAGTGGCGCCCCAGCTCGGCCTCGGTCACGTCGCCGGGCAAATTGAGCACACAGACGTTTGTGGAGTTGTGGTCGCCCGTGCTGTGGCTGCCGCTTCGGGGCGCCGTCTCTTGCGCCAGCACGGCTGAGACTGATGTGTTGTCTGCGCGCAGGCCTGCATCAGAGTCTGCCGAGTCGTAGTCGACTTCGGGGAGACTCACCGCCCAGACGCTCCTTGATGCGCGTCTCGCGAGCGGCTTGATCTCTGTCTCGCCACCGTCAGCTTCTGCTGCAAATTGACAGCAGCGCTGCGCGACTCACCGCGCCAGCTCGCCAGCGAAGTCCTCCATCACGCGCCGCTTCTTGCCCGGCGGCTCTCTGCGTCTCGAGCCTGATGCAGCAGTCTGACGTCCAGAGCAGCCGATCAGTATCGACCGCCCTACAGCTAGCACTCTGCAGACTCACATCCTCAACACGCTCCTCCCCAAACGCCGCCCCTCCAATCCCACCTCTCTTCTCCGTCTGCTGCGCCTGCACCGCAGGTCTCACAAACGCCGCCGCCGGATTCCGGCCCGCCAGGCCAGGTGCCAAGCCTCTCGCGACGCCCAGGCCTCCGCGCGGCGGTGCCATTGCCTCTTCTTCCTCATCGTCATCGCCGAACGCGCGACGCATGCCGATGCCGCTGCCGCCGCCGCTCGAGCTCGAGCCGATGCCGCTGCGGGCTGAAGCGGGCACACGGGGTGGGGAGGGCGCTCGTGCGGCTGGAGCACGGGCGGTGGGGGCATAGGCGACGCCTGTGAGGAGGACATGAGCCATGTTTGATGTGTGCGGTGGCGCTGGCCCAGACGGCGATGGAGCCAGTGCCCCTGAGAGAGGAGACGCTAGCAGCCCCCCCCCCTCCCCCAATCGCCATCGTCTCGCCTCACAAAGACTCCTTTCTGTCCCACTCAGTGCTTTAACGCCAGTTCAGCAGCCTGCAGCTGCGGCCCCGTCGCCTCTCGCCTTTCCCATGCGTTGCTCTGGTCTACTCACCGCCCGCGCGCACGAAGCCGACCTGCTTCTTCTTCTCCCTCACCTCCTCCTCTCCCTCCATGTCCCTCAGCAGTTCCCTATACGCCAGCGCCGCCCTCTCCTCCTCCTCCTTCTTCCTTCTGGCGGCCTCATCCCGCTCGCGCTCAAAGCGGCTGCGCACCTGCGTCGCTCCGCCCGCGGCGAGACGCGCGGCACGCGCTGCTTCGTCTGCGGCGGAAAGCGGCGCGGCGGACGCTTTGGCGCGTGCGAGAAAGGCCAGGATGGCGGGATCTTCGGGCGTGGGCGAGCGCGAGGGGAGACGACGAGTCGTCGTCATGGTGCCTCGACTGAGCGGGGCAGGGACGACGCGGGCGGGAGAAGAGTCGTGGAGAGAAGGAAGGAGCGCTCGGTGCGGCCCTCGCGCGCTGTGCGAGTTTTCCCGCGGGGCGCGCCGCCCACGGCCCACCTCACTCCACTCCTGCACCGCGCCGAGAGGCTCCTCACGAGGCTGGCGAGCAAGGCTGCGGGCACGGAAGACGCCTCGCTTGCATTCCGCAGCGAGACGCCTATGCGGATGTCGCAGCTCCAACCCCTCCGCTCACGCCCTTCGACAGCTCGAAGCTCCTCCGGCGTCTGAAGCGCGCAGAGCTGCTACTGGCTCCTCTTCACATGCAGTTGCGACACGATGCCGCTCGAGCACCCCATAGCGAGAGCTTTCATTATCGATTGCCATCTTTGCCATACTACATACAGCCCCCGCCTGTCCTACTTGCGGCTACTCTGATGGCAACCGGCGGCACTGGATGTGCGTCAGGCGCGGATCTTGCGGCAGCTGGCAGAAGACTTGTGCGGCAGGCGCGTCAGCGACAAGTGGGCAGGGAGGGAGAGAGGGAGAGGACGCACAGCCGAGATGTTGCATCTGCGCGAAGAGATCCTTGGCTATGGGCAAGCAAGGCGTGTCAGCGGCTAGGCGACAGGCAGGCAGCTTGCACGGCGCGAGGCTTCGAGGCGCAGAGATGTCGAGCAAGCTACTCGCCCCCTGCCGCCGCAGACTACGAGACTAGACGAGCCCTGGGGCATGCAGACAAAGCTGCAGCGGCACCCGCACGCCTAGTACAGCACGCTGAGTAGAGCGACACGCAAGCTCGTCGAGCTGCGCGTGCTGATGATGCCACGGAGCGTGGCCGGCACGAGCCCACCTGCTGCTGCCGCAGCGCGACCCGGTAGACTCTACCCCAAAAATGTTCTCGCTTGCAGTGACACCGCAGGCGCCAGAGAAGCTTCGGCATTGCTCGCGCGCTCTGCACCTTCAGCAGCCCTGTCCTGAAGCCTGCCGCTAATTCCGCGTATGGCCCGAGCGGCGAGACAAAGCAGCGCCCTCATCCAGGCTCTACTGGAAACTCGAGGCTCCCTGTACGTTCCATTCTTCTGTACCCGTCCGCGTATACCGCTTAGCGGCGCTCAGCCACGTACCAATCCCATCTGAGGCCCTCGCTCCGTCGCGCGATACTCACCCTCCATTGCGATCTGCGTGCACTCCGTCTGTCCGCCGGGCAGGTGCTTGCAGAGTTTTGCCGATCCCGCACCTCTCTCGCTACACATCCATCGCAGTGCAGCGCGTCAGCGTCACCTTCCCTTCGGCCTCGCATTCGCGCAAGGGACAAGGGAGCGCCCAAACGCACCCATCGAAGCTGAATGCCTGCGCCTGCGGAGCCGGCTGGCCCGAAGCAGACGTGGTGCCCTGCACGAAGGCCGCGACACTGCGGTGCACGTCGCTGTCCATCTTGGAGGTGAGGTTGGAGGACTTGCCGGACATGGTATGGAGTTGTATGCGCGACGAGGGAGGGATGTGGAGGGAAGGCAGCCCGAGGCGCAGGCGCGGAGAATTGGCTCAGCCGGGCCTTGCGCAGCCAAAGAGCGCGAGACGTCACGTGCTGCCCAAGCGCACAAGCCAGGCTGGGCCGAGCTCGATCGAGAGGCTTCGAGCTCGAGCTTCCTGCGCCGCGAGGAGACATCAGGCAGGCGCTCTGCTCGCTGCCTCTCCGCAAACCTGCCTCTCGACCACTACCATCCCATGCTAACGCACCTCCGCCGACCCGCCACTCTCCTCAGCCCCCTCCTCCGCCGCAACATGTCCGTCTACAAGGTCGTCTCCACCTCGTCCGCGCCCTCGGCCATCGGCCCTTACTCGCAGGCCGTCGTGCACAACGGCATTGCCTACTCGAGCGGCTCGATCGGCTTTGAGCCATCGACGATGCAGATCGTCGAAGGCGGCGTCGAGGCGCAGACGCGCCAGGCACTCAAGAACCTCAAGGCTGTCGTTGAGGCGGCCGGCGCGAGCACGGCCAGTGTGCTGAAGACGACGGTGTTCCTCAAGGTGAGCGTGCCGTGCAGTCCCCAACGCCATCACTCCGGCGCGAGGCCGCAGAGATAGCGGCCAGGAGTCGCGCGATGGCCTGGAGACGCTCGCAAGCGCATCATGTCTCAGGCGTTTCGCAGCGCTCATCTCTCTTCGTCCCGCTTGCCGACGCTCTTCAATCTCGCTCGAAGGACATGGGGGACTTCGCTAAGGTTAATACCAGTGAGTGAGACGTGTGTGTGGCTGAGCAGTACCCGTGCTGACCTGTTGCTGCAGTCTACGAGGAGGTGAGTTCACGCTGTCTCACTTGCGCTTGCCCGACGGCTGGCTCTGGGGAGCAGGTGCGAGATCGGGCCGAGCTGCGTGCACCCCCGCTGCAGCGTGCGAACGGCGTCACACAAGAGGCTTGCTCGCATCGCTCTCGGCGACATCACGGCTGCTGCGCTGGCGCATCTTGATGCTGCTTCGCAGCAACGTCATGGCGGCGGACGATGCGACGCTCCAGCACGAGCGGGCGAGGTGTGAGCGAGCTTCGTCTCTGCCACAGGCCGGCACATGCACGCTGCTTGCACGCTGCTGCCACATTGCTCTAGCACACATCGCTGGCTCGGCTGCAAGCTTGCGGCGGCGATGTACGGTGTCCGCCAGTTGTGCTCTCGACCAAGCTTTGCGACGCAGCGCCCGAAGCCGGCGCGCATAACGCTAGTCTCGCGGCTGCGTCTCCGTCGCAGGCCTCGTCTTTTGGCCCACACCTCCTCTCCGTCACCGCAGCTGACATTCTCCGCCTCGCTCGCGCAGTTCTTCGCCCCGCACAAGCCCGCGCGCTCGGCCGTCGAGGTGGCGCGTCTGCCCAAGGATGCCCTCGTCGAGATCGAGTGCATCGCTGCCGTCACGGAGGCGTAATGTTCTGCGATCAGCGCACGAATGAAAGCGCGTCCGAAGTAGCTCTGCTGTGCGCTGCGATTGACGAACAGAGGAGAGAGAGACAAAGCCGAGACTTGCCCGTTGCTGACGCTCGGAGGGGCCCCGCTGCAACGCCATTCTCGAGCTGCGTGTCCGATCAGCTGCCGCTCCTCGCTGCTTGTCAGCCAATGTCTTTCCTCTTGCACCAGCTAAGCACCGTCTTGCTGGCCTTGCCTCACTTCCTCGGCGTTGGAGCTGAGCTCGTGGTCGACGAGCGCGCGGAAGCTTGCGCACGTGCTTGTCAATCACCACATGGCCGCAGGCGCCGCAGCGCTGAGCGATGCAGACGCCTCCAGTGCTTCTCTCTGCGTGCCCCACTCGCTGCTGCAGAGGCGTAGTTGGAGGGAAGGAAGCAGGGCCGCGAGGCTGTCCGTCGCTGCTGTCAGTGTGTTGAGCTCTGGCAGGCGCAGCTCGAGGCGGCGCACTCACGCGCTCCGCTGGCCGCTGGCCTCGGCCTCGGGCAGCGCGTCAGCACGGCAGGCAGGCGCCCCGCACCTCGCTTGCGCGTGTCGTGTGTTGTGCCGCGCGCCGCCGCGCCGGCCACGGCCCGCTCCCTGAAGCCCACCGCTCGCCGCCGCCCCGAGTGATCCGGTCGCAGCCGGTGCGCCTTTCCCCGCATTCTCTCTCTCGCGCGACGACGACGACGACGGCGACGAGCACTGCTGCACGCCCGCGCTCCTTGCTGTGCCCATTGGCTTCACACCCCCGTCCAGCGCTCTCGTCCACTCGCCCCGACGCTCGCACCTCGCCTCTCCGCGCACACGCCTCATCTTCGCGACCCTAGCTGCGTGCGATCGCAGCCATGTCGTCCGCCGAGGTCATCGATGCGTGCGTGGCCATCGCTGTCCGTCTCTTCACGCTGTCTTGCGCTGATGCCCCTGTGGTCTGCGCAGGCTCTTCGAGCGCACCGTCGACATCGTCCAGTCGCTGCCCAAGGCCGGCGCCATTCAGACCAGCTACGAAGAGAAGCTGGCGCTGTACAGGTGTGTACTGACTTCTGGACGGGCGGGGCGGGGACTGCTGGCTGGCGCGCGCGGAGCAGAGGGGCCAGCGCTGGGCGCTCCTGCGAGCTGCGAGCTGCATGTCGGCCAAGCGAGCGCCCGGGTGCGACCTCGCCTCGAGGAGGAAGGCAGGCGATGTAAGCCAAGTCGCTGACGAGCATGGTCTGTGCTGTGCAGTCTCTACAAGCAAGGTGCGTCTCTCCGCCGCATCGTTTTGCCCTCGCAGGCTCTGACGACTCTTGCGCAGCGACCGAGGGCGATGTGACGTCTCGCCGGCCCGGCATGCTCGACATGCTGGGGCGCGCCAAGTGGTGAGACCCCGGGTCCCCACTCCACGCCGGGCTTGCGAGACGCTGATGCGTGCTGCCTTTGCCGCTCTGCAGGGACGCTTGGTCATCGCGCCGCGGCTTGAGCAGCCAGGACGCCAAGCAGCTCTACGTCGAGAGCATGCTGCGGGTGAGTCTGCGCTGGCAGCGTGGAGGTATCGCTGTGCAGGCCGCTGATGTGCGCGGGATGTGGGTCGCAGACACTGCGCAAGTTTGCCGATCGGCCACAGGCGATTGCGCTTATTGAAGAGCTGGAGAGCTATAGCGGAGACGTGGCGCAGCGAGTCATGAGCGGTGAGTCCGATGCAGCGCGGGTCGCAGCGGTGGAATGACGCTCACGCGGAGTGCGTGTCTAGCATCACTGGCGCGCGCCGGCTCAGACTCAGACTCGGACTCAAGGCCACGCTCGCCCGTTGCCATACCCGTGCCGGACACTGAGACGGACAGCGAGGATGAGCGGGATGCAGTGGCGCAGCTGCCGCCAGCTATGGCGTCTGCATCTGCGTCTCGCCCTTCCTCAGCGCAGGCAACACGCGGCGGACGATCAGTCGGCGGCGGGTCAGGCGGACGACGCACGCCTCAGGGTGGCTCAGTGAGCGGTGGGCTGCCGCAGCGGTACGCCGTGCCGCCCTCCCGCGTGCCGCGCGCACCACCATCAGCTGCGAGCCGCACGCCTGCGCCACTGGCGACGGATTCCGAGGATAGTGACGAGTCCTTGGCGGCGCGCGAGGAGCGACAGCGTCGCGGCTCCCAGCAGCCGTCGATCAACACTCCACGCGGAGCGCCTCGTGCGGCGCAATACTACGCCGGCGCAGGCCCACCGGCTCCGCGCTACGCCACGCCGCAGTCCTGGTCGCGCGGGCCGGGCTCAGTGACAGGTGGCGAAGGCCGGCTGTATGCGCCGCCCAATGCGCCTCGTATGCCGCCTTCCGAGTCTATGGGCGGCGGAGGTGCAGGCACGAGCATGTACTCTGCCGTGCCGCCGTCTCGCGCGCCGCCGAGCGAGCAGCACTACTACCATCACGCCGGCAGCGTGCGTCCTGGCGCGCCTTCCTCCATCGGCGCTCGCTCCGGCGGCGCTCCCTCGCATCGCGGAGCCGTGCAGCCGCAGCGCGCAGAGGTCGACACGGCGCTGCAGTCCATCCAAGCCTCGCTGGCAGCGCTGCACGAGCGGCTCAATCGCGTCGAGGAGACACGCCGCTCCGGTCTCTCTGCGGCGCTGTTTGGCCCTAGCGGAGCAGGCGCTGCAGATGGGAACGGCGGACGGAGAGGAGCTCTGCGCAAGGCGTACGGCGCCCTGACGGACGCGCTGCATGACATTGCCGTGCTGCTCGGCCTCGGCGCCGCTTCACGCACCGGCACCGCGGCGCCTTCCTACCTTGCCTCCGCTGGAAGTCGGGGCAACGGCGCAACCAACAGCGGTGGAGCAGCCAACCAAGGCGGCCTCGGCGCACCACTGCGTCTGCTTGCAGCGGTGCTGAACCTCTCGGTTCGCCTGGCGCTCGACCTGACGAGCTTGGCATTGCTCTTCTCCCTCATCGTCTTCTTCGTGCAGCGGCTTACAGGGCGCGGCGACCCGCTGCTCCTGCTGCGGCTCATGCGGCGATGGCGTCCAAGGGCTGCGGCGGCCCTGCTGCCGGCGCAGAAGACGAAGAGGGGAGAGGCGACGGCTGTGGCTGCCTAGAGTGCTCTGTGCAATGCCCACCCACTTCTCACTGCGACGGACCCGAGGCGACAGCACTAGAAAGGGTCTCTGATTGTATGTGTGAGGCGTGTGTGTGTGACAGGGAAAAGGGGTGCGTGTCCAGACTAGGAGAGAGAAGAGGACAAGACGGCCAGAGAAAGTGTGTGACTAGAAGGGAAGAGAGAGGGGCCGCGACTATTCGTCCGCCGGCACCTCGACGAACGCGCGGAAAACGACAAGCTCCTCGTCTCCCTCGTTGCGCAGCTCCACCTCGCAGCCCGCGCCCACGAAGTACGTGTGCCCGGGCTGCTTGACCTCAAACTCGCGCGGCGCATCCGGCGCCAGCGTGTGGCCGTTGGCCGCGCTGTTGCTGCGGCTGCGCGAGCCGTTCGCTTGCTCCTGCGGCAGTGGACGCGGGCGAGCGATGAGCTTGGCGTTGGCGCCTTGCGTGACGAGCAGGATGGAAGGGCCGTCGAGCGGCTTCTGCGTCTCGCTTGCTCCGGGCGCCAGGCAGGTGCGCAGAACGGAGAACTCCTCGATGGGCGGGTCGTACAGAAGCGTCGGGACGTCTGGCGTGCCGTCTTCCTTCTCCTTCGGCGAAGCGTATGCCTCGGCATTGGCGCTGTCCTCAGCCGGCGTGTAGGCAGTGGCGCTCATGCGCTGCTTCTCCGCGCCGCCGGTCGAGTACGTGAGCATCTCCACGAGCGTCTCTACGTCTCGCTCCTTGGGCGTCAGGCCGGCGCGCACGACATTGTCGGACGCAGCCATGCACTCGACAATCTCGCCGCGCAGGTAGGCGTGCGGCTCGTTGGCGCCGAGGAACATGGCCTGGCCGGGCGAGAGGTGGACGACGTTGAGGACGAAGGTGCAGAGCACGCCGATGTCTGCTGGGTACTGCTCGTTGAGGCGCACCACGAGGCGCGCCACGTCCTCCTCGACCTCCAGCTCGGACGCCTTGCCATCGTCCAGTGCTTGGCGATAGCGTGCGGCAAGACGCATGACGGCCGTCTTGTACGTCGTGCTCTGCGCACGCATCAGGCGCCCAAAGATGCCGCGCACCCACGAGCGCGTCTCCTCGTCCGTCGTGCCCGACGATGGCTGGCTGGCCCACGCCAGCTCGGAGACGAATGCGACGGGCGCATTGACGACCTGTGCAAACTCGGGCACCGCATCGAGATACTTGTGCATCTCAGAGAGTGGCCGGAAGCCGCAGAAGCCTTCGAAGTCGGTCAGGGCGATGGCCATCTCTGGCTTGTGGTTGTCGTCTGGCAGCACTTGTCAGCGCCATTGCTGCACAACGTCATTCGGGCCAGCTCACCCTTGTAGCTATCCGGCTTCTCGCCGTGCAGCTTCTTGCCGAGCTCCTTGTCGGGATGCGCTTGGATGCTGAGCGCCTTGCCGACGCTGAGGATCTTGAACAAGAACGGCAGCTCGCCGGCCGGACGCTTGAAGTAGCGCGGCCGTGCGCCGAGCAGCGCGGGGTGACGGGCGAGGTAGGAGGAGAGCTGAATGGGGGAGCCGTCTGGTGGTGTTGGGCTGTTTGGTGGCGGGATGATGGAAGAGGGAACAGTCGGATGCGTGCCCATCCAGAGCTGAGTCGAGGCGTCAGTACGAGGACCAGAGCACACAAGAGGTGCGAAATGGCTGAGACTACAAGGCGAAGAGGTGCTTCTCCGCAGCACTCCGCAGCAGCAAGTCTCAGAGGCAAGCTAGCAAGCCGTAGGAAGCTTGCGAATCCTCGCTGTGCAGCTTCACCGGCCTGTGTTGTCGCCTGCCTTCACCCGCTGCTGGTCACTCACCTCTGCAAACTTGGTGCCCTCCTTTGCCTTCTCCACCTTCGGATCACTAGCGCTTGCCAGCTTGGCCACCAGCGCACCATCCTCGCGCGTCATGCCCCACTCATAGTGCTGCGTGCCGGGCTTGAGTTCAAATGCGGCGCCGAAGGGGCCGTACGGGCCGTACGGATCCTTGCTGGCCGAGGACGATGCGCCCGAGGAAGAGGAGGAAGAGGCAGACGGCATGGCGTCGCGGGTGAGGTGGGCAGAGACGCTGCGCAGCCGGCTGTGCGCTGCGGCGGCGGAGGAGCGAGTGGTGGGAATGGTGGAGAAGAGGCAAGCGGGCGGGTCGTCAGGCCTGCTCCTGACGAAGCCGTGCGTGGCCGGATCTGTGCTTGCGTGGACGGGTGGCGTGCGTGCGCTGCTGCGAGGCGAAGAGAGGGCGATGTGGGAAGTGCGAGGTGGGCCAACTGGCCGTGCGCTGTGGCTGGCGAGCGAGGCGATGAGGGTGTGACTGTCGGATGTGACGCTGCCCGCTGTGCTGCTGCAGCTGCCCGCTGCTGTGGAGGCACGCGTCCAACCTCTCCTGCGCTGCCGCATCTTGCCCTCGCCCCCAGCATCTGCAGGCCGCATGCAGCATCCCGAGTCCGCCGCACGCGCCGCGGGACGGCCGCCGTTCCGACAGCAGAACGCCGGCGTCGTGCCGCTGCCTCGGCCGCTGCGACGCTGCAGCTCTTCCCTGCATGCTGCAGCTGCTGCGAGAGGGTGCAACCTCGGCGTGTTGGCTGAGATGTCCCAAGCGGGCAGTTCCTGCCCTCGATACGTGCCGCCCTGGCGCGGTGCCTTGCAGCGGCGCTCCCGCCATCCTCGGCGCCGTGCCGGGCGCGGAGTTGCGGCGTGCTCGCAGATCTTCTCGCCGCCGCCGCCGCTTCCGCGCGCCCTCGACGTCGTCGTCCCGCATCGCATCGCATCGCATTTCTCCGAGAGATGGAGAACGCCCGGCGGAGCGGTCCCGAGCCCGAATTTGCGCATCGGTCCGGACGCAAGTCCGAATCATCAGCCGCTAGGAGAGGGTCGAGGGCAGCAGGCGGATGAACTCGCATCGCCATAGACACCGCGCTGGCCCCGACGACCGTCCTTGGCCGCTTCTTCAGGAGGGAGGGGAGAAAGCCGCAGAGCTCGAGACGCAGGAGCGAGATGCACAGTCCATCATCCTCGTACCGCCTACTCATCAGCTTGCAGCAGCAGGAGCGCAGGTGAATGAGATAACATAGCAAAGCCTCGGGCAGACGACGGAAACGGTACATCAAGAGCAAGGACAGGCAGTGGCACATCGCGCCGCCCAAGTCGCATGCAGCGGGCGCGGGAAGAGGAAGGAACGTGACGCGGAGAGCAAGCCAGGGAGACGTGGACAGAGAGGGGGACGCTCGCGGCTAGAGAATGCGCCGCACCGTGCGTCGCTCGCCCGTGCCCGCAAGCTTGACAAGGCCCTGCGAGGAGAAGATCAGCCGGCCGCCATGCGCATACCTCATCGTCGAGCGACTCACCTCAGTGTCCAGGGCGCGCATGAGGTCGTACAGTTCCGTCGGGTCGACGGCGCCGTACGTGCTCTGGTCCGCCAGTGCCTTTGCGACATCGGCGTAGCGCACGGCGCGAGGCGGCACACTGCCGTCTGCGGAGCCGCCGCCCATCGACTCGAGCAGCGCCAGCGTCTCGCGGCGCAGGTCGCCCGCCATCTTGCGGCCTGCGAGGCCTCGGCCAGTGTTGACGAGGTCGAGATCGATGAGGCCCGTCGTGGGGTCCGTGGCTGAGCTCTTGGTCGCCTCAGCGATGAGGCGACACGCCTCCTCGACATCCTCAACGTCGACCGTCTCGCTCCAGCGCATGCGAGCGTGCGCCTCGGAGAGACGGATCATGCTCTCCAGCTGGCGCGTCGTGGCGGTGATGCGGCGCTCGGCACTGCGCGGGTCCTCGCCGGCCTTGCGCAGCGCCACGTAGCGCTCCGCCAGCGCCGAACCGGCCGCCTCGGTGAGCACGGGCTGCACGTGGTTGCGCACGTAGCCAATGTAGGCGGTGAGCGTCTCGATGGGCAGAATGTCGGAGCCGCCAGTGCTTGGCGCGTCCTCGAGGTAGAGACCGACCAAGTGCCGTGCGAGACGCCGGTCAGACGCCTCGTCGACCTTGTCCAGCACGAGATAGACGAGGTCGAAACGACTGATGAGCGTGGGCGGCAGGTCGATGTTGCGCGTGATCGGCAGCTTGACGTTGTACTTCGAGCCGACGGGGTTGGCGGCAGCCAGCACCGACGTGCGTGCGTTGAGCGTCGTGATGATGCCGGCCTTGGCAATCGAGACGGTCTGCTGCTCCTGCTCGTCGTGTAGGGCGTCAGCATCATGGCGCGGCGAGCCGATGTACAGCACGCACCATGACTTCGTGCAGCACACTGCGCGTCGCATCCGACATCTTGTCGAACTCGTCGATGCAGCACACGCCGCCGTCGGACAGCACAAGAGCACCACTGCGAGGGTCCAGTCAGCACGCGTTCTTACCCCTCAGATACGAGCGACTCACCTCTCCAGCACCAGCTGCTTCGAGTCCGGGTCGCGCGTCACGTAGGCCGTGAGACCCACGGCACTCGAGCCCTTGCCGCTGGCGTACACGCCGCGCGGCGCGATCTTGTGCACGTACATCAGCAGCTGCGACTTGGACGTTCCCGGGTCGCCGACCATCAGCACGTTGATGTCGCCACGGTAGCGCGGGCCGCCCTGGCCGCCGCCGGAGCTGATCGTCTTGTTGGTGCCGCCGAAGAGCTGCAGCAGGATGCCCTTCTTCACGTCGTCCATCTCGTAGATGGACGGCGCCAGCGAGCGCGCCAGCAGCTCGTAGCAGTCGGGCCGCTCGGCGATGCTCCGCAGCTTGGCCTGCAGCTCCTCGGCGGCACTGACGCCCTGCGAGCCGCCGGCGGTGGTCTGGCGCCGTGTGGGAATGTCAAAGGCGCCGCTCGTGCGCGTGTCCAGGTCCTCATCGTCGTCCTCCTCGCCACCAACGCCCAGCGACTGGGCACCGCGGCCGTCGCCGCGCTCGTTCTCGTCGCGCGTGCTGGCATCGACGCCGAGGCGGCGAGCGTTGCCGCGCTTGACGTGGATGACGTCGAGGAACGTCTTGTACAGGCTCTTCTGCGTGCGTGCGCGCGGGTTCACGCGCACGGCCTGCGAGCGGAAGATGCCGGTGATCTCGACGCGGTCGCCCGGCTTCGAGACGTCCACCAGCTCGTCGTACGCGCAGAGCGTGACGGTGTGCGGCGTCTGGCCGTCGGGCACGGCGTCGGGCGTCTCCTGCAGGCGGATCACCTGCCGGTCGGCGAACTCGCAGCGGTTGTGGATGAGCGCGATGGTGCCCTGCTGGCCGCACACGTCGCGCGGGCAGCGGTCCGGCTCGGCGATGCGCCCGCGGTCCAGCTCGACGGACATGGTGTGGTTGCACGCCAGGCAGCGGAAGAACGCGTTGCGCATGTCCGGGATGATCGGCGTGCAGCGGATCACGAGGCCACGCACGGTCACGAGCTTGTCGATGTCGCCCGGATTGAGGTCGCGCATGTTGACCGTGTCGTGGCCGAACGGCCGCACCTTGTACGTCATGCCCTGCATGCGCTCAATGTCGATGTCGGCGCCGCCGTCCATGCCGTCGCGCGCACTGCGCTCGTCGAGCTCGGCCAGCGCCAGCATCTCGTCCTTGAGCACCGTGTCGAAGATCGCGACGACCTCGCTGGGATACTTAATGATCCAATGCGCCAGCTTGCGCGACGGGCCGAAAGCAGCCAGGTCGGACACACGCACGTTGAGCGACGTCTGGTCGGTTAGGCGCATCCGCCGCATGTAGCCCTGGTAGACGAGCGCCTCGCCCTGCTCGGCCGTGCGCCCCTCGGGAATGTGCCGCGACCTGTCGCCCTGCTTGTCTGCCACGGCTGCCGCTGCCCAGCGGTACTTGAGGCGGAAGCCCCGCAGGAACTCCTGGCACGCCGTGAGCGTCTCGCTGATGCCCACGCCGGTGCCCCAGATGACCTTGTGCTCGCCGTCCTGCGCGGGCGGCGCTGCGTCGTCTGTTGTCGGAGCGGCTTGCGACAGCGTGAAGTCGGAGTTGGCGTGCATGCTGACGTCTGAGCCAGGCGCCGAAGCGGCACCTGCGTTGCGCACCGGCATGCGCGCTGTGCGCACGACCGAAGGCGAGGCCAGGATCGCAGACGAGTGGATCTCACCACGCCGTGCGCGCGGCGTCGAGAGGTTGCTGCGCGGCGACCTGGTGCAGGCGTCAACAAGCGCTATCGACATCTGCAATACCAGGGCTACTCACTCGTCGAAGAAGAGGCCGCGGGCACCGCCGCCACGGAAGTCTGACGAGGCGTCGCTGCGCAGGCTGCTCGAGGGCACGCCGCGGCCGGCGCCGCTGCGACCCTGCGCACGCGCCGCAGCACCGGTGGCAGCACGAGCGCTGGCACGGGGCGTGCCGGCCTCGGACGACGAGGGCAAGTGCAGAGGCGAGCTCTGGCCGTTGCCTGCGCTCGGTGTCAGTGTCGCACGAGCTGGCTGGCGAGGAGAGCCATCACTCACGCGACGATGCAGGCGCACGCTGCGAGCCCGATGGCCGTGCCGTGCTGGCCGTGCTCTTCGCCGGGCTGCTGGACGGGAACTGCAGCGGGCTGGAAAAGGCGCCGGGCGTGCGTGCGGCCGACGAGGCGGGCGTCTGCGCCGAGGCGGCCGGCGTGCGGGCGTCCTCGGGCATGTCGGCGTCGCCGCGGCCGGGAGAAGACATGCTGGGCAGTGGAGCAGCTGCGGGCTGAGATGCTCGTGGTGTGAGACGTCGATGCGGTGTGTTGCGGTTAGGACTTCGAGATGGTGGAAGGATGGTGCGTGCAGCTGCACCTAGGCTCGACGCCGAGCTCGCACGGGCAGGCGAGAGCCGACCTCGACCGTGGCAGATGCACACGCCGCGCCGCCCGCCTTCTCGCTGGCCGGCGGTGGCGGGCACGGGAGCAGTCTCGCTGCGAGAGCAAGCCGACGCGTCCATTAACGCGTCCCTCGCCTCGACGCGTCTGCTGCTGAGTTCCCACGAGGCGCTCGCACGTGATCTGATGCCTGGCGTGCGTCCGTGCACGGGCGCCTCTCGAGCTCCTCCTTCTCACCGCCACCTCGCCCACTAGACGCCCGCGCAACGCTCCAAAGCGCTGCACCCGTGCCCCTCGCTCACGCGCAGCTGGTCTGCCTGTCTGCGCCGCGTAGACTTCGAGCCGCTAGCCTCTCCGCTCCTCCTCCCTGGCGCATCTCGCAGCCTTCGCCCAGCATGATCTCCGACGTCACCCTCTCGGCGCTGGCCAACTGGCTCGGCAGCCTCACGATGGTGCTCATCGTCGTCTACCACGTGAGCTCGATAGGCGCTTGAAGTGTGGGCAGCAGCTGATCATCGTGCTCTGCTCAGCTCATCACGGTCAACGCCAAGCGGACCGCCTCGCCGCAGTCGGCCGCCAAGATCGCAGGCACCCGCAGCTGAGGCTGCAGGAGTTGGACGGGTGGATTCGGCGACGGGATGGGTCTCAAGAGAGGGAAGGGGTCGAGAATGTGATCGATTGGTATCTCAGGTGACACGCGACGTGAAGAGAAGAAGCGAAATGGAGAATGTGAGTACATGAGAGAAGGCGAGGCGAGAGGGACGGAGGCGTCTCGAGATGGCCTAGAGCGCCCGCGGCTTCCAGAAGCCCTGCATCTGCTTCCTGCTTGGCGTTGCGTGGCTCGAGCGCTTCTTCGGCTCAGGCCTGAGCCAGCGCGGCTGCCACAGCTCGTCCTCGCGCTCCTGCTGCATCTCCGAGTCTGGCTCCGCCGCCGGCGACGGCAGAGCAGAGCAGGCAGCGAGCGGATCTTCGGCGCTGCTGAAGCTCTGCGCTGCAGATGCGGCAGTCTGCAGCACACGTGCGTGCTGGTACGGCGTGAGACGTGGCGCGTCGAAAGCGTAGGAGAAGGCGCGGTGCGATGTGGGCGGCGTGCTGGGATGGCCGGGCCCGGTCAGGAAGTCGAGCGGGTCTGCAGCGCTCGAGAGCGGCTGCGGCACGGCCGCTAGCACGGGAAGGTGTGGAAGAAGGTAGCGATGCTCTGGCTCTTGCTCGAACTCGGGCTCGTGCTCGTGCCGAGTCTCTTGCTCGAGATGATGCGACTGTCGGGCAGGCATGCGAGCGCCTGCGACGCTTTCGGCGTCCCAGTCGAAGGCATTCGCTTCTTCGAGCTGCACTAGCACCTGCTCGCAGAGCTCGTCTTGCTCTGGACATGCGTGTGGCGAGACAGCGCGCAGCTCTGGTCGCTGGAATGGTTGCGGCGCTCGCGGTGGCCAGGCAAGCGCCTCGTTTGGCGGCACAGAAGCTCGTACTTGGGGCTCTGGTGAGAGCTCGCCGCGTTCGCACGCGCGCAGCAGAGCCTCAAACGAGCTGCTGCGGTGCAGACGCGGCTCGGCTCGGCGTGTCTCGATGCCGCCAGGCTCAGAGGAAGTCTCGAGCGCCAAGCCCAGGTGCTCGAGCGGCTGCGGCGGCGCACCTCGCGGCCGTGGCAACGCTGCCAGATCTTGCTCGCCGGAGGTACCGCCGCGGTGCAGCTCCGCTAGCCGGTGCGGTGCCCGCCAGGCATTCGAGGGCACGGCTGCGCCCGGTCCGAACGCCATGAGGCCGCCGCCGCGAGTCTCGGGCACGGAATGCTCGACGGCACGCTCGAGCGGGTGCAGATGGCGCAGCGGAGCGCACGACGAAGATGCAGGCTGTGCTTCCGGAGCAGTGCTGGAGCGCTGCAGCGAGGCGCGTGCCGCACGCGCCGGCGGCTCAGGCGAGGCAGTCGATCGCGAAGCGGCTCTGCTGTCGATGATTGGCCGATAAGGCCGGACTGGTGACGCGGGACGCTGGCGCTGCGCATACGTCGCGGAGCGCCATTCAGGCGACGTTTGCACCTCGCGCTGGCGTTGATGGAAGAGCAGCAAGCGTGCGTCGTCCTCGTCTTGCAGTTGCGCAGACGGGTCGGAGGCCGATGTTGCGCCAGGGCCCGCCTCGAGCGCGTCCTTGCTCGACTTGTCTCGCCGCCGCTGCGCAAGCGAGTGCGCCGAATGCGCCTCGCTTGCATCGGAATCAACGCTGCCCGTCGCTTCTTGAGGCTCGAGTCGCTCGGCGGCTTGGCGTTCGTCCGCAGGCGGGAGCGCCTTGCGCCTCTTGCTCTTCTCCCTCGTATCGTCCACGCTCGCCTCCGATGCCTCGGCATCATCTTCAGCATGGATCAAGCGCCGCTTCGTACGGCCGCTGCCGCCTGCCGTCTTGCCTTGCAGGAACGGACGCTCGCGGAACATCAGGTCCGTCGGCGTGCTGCGCGTGCCGCGTGGTCCGCGCATCGTCGGGCCGGAGGCGGCGCCGTGGTTGAAGAGGCCAAGTAGGGGCTCGCGGGCCGGTGCGTTCTGGAGCCATACGGAGTCAGCAAGATGCAGCAAGAGACGTGTGAGCTCGACGTACCGTCAGCCGGCTACTGCCGCTTCGCGTGCTCGGCAACAGCGAGATCTTCGCCGTCTGCTTCTTCAGCCGCTTCGAGCGCGTCTCCTCCGCCGTGGTCGTGCCTCGCTTTCGGCCCTTGCCCCTCTCTGGTAGCTCCTCCTCTTCAGCATCTTCTGCGCGTCCTCGCGACTTGCTCGACTGCCGACTGGCCCGGCGTAGCAGCGTGGCGTGCGGGGCACTGCGGTCTACTACTCTTGCTGCTGTCTTTGGTGTGGCCTCCGCTGGCTGAATGCCATTGCGCTGCGCCTTGCGATCGCGACGCTCGAGCTTTCGCGCCTCAAGCCCTGCAAGGAGATAATGAGCTCGTGCTGAAGTAGGAAAGCCAGAAGCGCTCACGTGCTGCTACGGCTGCTTCGTCTGCCCAGTAGCCCTCCGGCAGCCCACGAGCCTCGTTAGCTGGCAAGGCCGGTGCTGCGACGTTCGGCCGTGTACGATCAGCAGTAGCTGCCCTCTTGTCGGAGCGATGCCCTGCCTGTTCGATCGTCCGTTTCTCTGCTGCTCCGCTGGACGGCTCGGCCACTGGCCGCGACGCACGGTCCTCGTCTCTAGCGCGCATCGACCTTGCCCGTCCGACGCTCTTGCTCTTCTCCGGCACTGCCGAGTCCGTGATGGCGCCATCGTGCCGGGCGACCGGCTGTCGCGGCACCAGCGCAGGTCTCAGTGCCGGCGGCTCCTTCTCAGGCCGTGGCGTGCCCGTAAAGGCGGCGCGGTCGTGCGGTGCCGGCTGAGCAGGCATCGAAAGTCGCGGCGGCGCAGCGGCGAAGTGCTGCTGCGCCTGTGAGGCCACGTAGGCCTCGACGGCGCCAGAGGAGGCCGAAGCGCCGCCGAGGCGAGCCAGCGCATGCGCTGTGAGAGGCTGTTGCATGTGCGATGCTGCGGCCTCGAGAGAAGTGCGGAGAGGGGTGCGCTCGGGGCGCGGCATGCGGGAGAGGGTGGTGGCGCGGTCGGAGAAGTGGAGGCGCAGCAGCGGGCGAGTCCAACACCCTGACGCGCAGGCGTGAGAACCTCGCCGCCCGACAAAAGCCAGCGCCGGCCGCGGGCTGCGAAGACCCTACGCAGCCCAAGCGGGTCGCAGCAGCTAGAGCGAGGCGACCACTGCCACGGACAAGAGCGAGACCCTCCACACCACGCTTGACAGCGCAGCTCGAGCTGCGACGAGGACAAGGCAGACGCGCGCTTGGGCCCCGCGCTCCCTTTGTCCTCACGCGCGCGGCTCGGCGGGAGCAGGTGTCCTGCGAGGCGGGCTGAGACTCAGACTCTAGTGCGCGCTTGGGCCCCTCTTTGTTCTCGATGGCCTCTCCCTCGTCGGCCGCCAGCGCTGCGGAGAGCGGCCCGAGCTGAAAGGCTCATCATCGGCGGAGCGGCTCGGCAGTCGTGCTCTGCGCTGCACGGCGTTACAAGGCAACGGCACGCGCGACTCTTACTCGCAGCGGCGGTGCCGTGAGAGCGTCAGGGGCGCGTCCGCTCCCAATCGAGCACTTGCCTGCCTCGTTTGGCCGTGCTGGCCGGCCGCCTGCGACTGCCCTTTGTCTGCCGCAGCACCCACCTCACACTGCCCGCCTGCCGCCGTCCGTCCTCTAGTCGTGTCGCTTCATTTGATTGAGCTGCTAGCTCGCTTTGTAGAGCGTGCCTCATCCTGCTGGAGAGCCGCCTCGAGCTGAGGATGCGCCTGTGCGCAGCTCGCCACACCCGCCCTCCTCCCTCCACCACCATCCCAACCGCCGTCCCTCCCCCATGCCCGCACAGCAGGTCAGCGTGCCGCAGATCCTACGCGACATGCTCTCGCAAGCCAACGTCCCGGCGCACGGCCGTCCGGCGTCGCAGCCCGCCGGCAGCTCGGCGTCCGCCTTCTGTGCCAGCATCTTCGGCGAGCGCGCGAACGGCAGCAACAACAGCAACTCGGCCCAACCCTCGCCCACGACGGAGCGCTTCACCGAACTCCCCGACAGCAGCCCTGTCCCTGCCAGCCTGCCGCCGCGTCCGGCCCTGACGCAGCGCGGCAGCTCGCCCGACGTCGACGCAGCGGCGGCACCGGGCGCCCGCCGCGAGTCGCTCATGCTCGAGGGAAGTGAGGCAGCCAATGGCGCCGGAGGAGACTTGGCTTCGCAGCTGGCCGTGCTCAAGGAGCGCCAGCAGCAGGGCTACATGCGCAACAAGGAGCGTCTGAGCAAGGTCGAGAATGCGGCGCTGCAGATGCGCATCGCCCTGCTCCAGCTGCAGCAGGATGCCGCCGCCAACTCGGCCGGCACGGCACACGAGCTGGCTCGCCTCGGCACCGAGCTTGCGCAGCTGACGGCGAATCAAGGTGCGCTGGTCAGCAAGCTCTCGACGATGCCCACCTCGCCTTCGCTGCCGCCCGGCTTCGTCGATCCCGTACAGCGCCAGAACGAGGAGCTGCTGCGTCTCTCGCAGGATCTCGAAGCGCGCAACGCAACGCTAGACGCGCGCAACAGGGCCCTTGACGAACGCAATGCGGCCCTGGACCAGCGCAACGCCTCGCTCGACGCGGTCAACGGCGAGCTCGCGACGCGCAACGACCAGATGATGCGCGCGTTTGAGGCGATGCAGAAGCAGATCAGATCGCTCACCAAACGTCAAGACGAGACGGACGCCGAGGCAAAGAAGCGCACGAAGATGTTCGAGCAGATCGAGCAGATCGAGCGCGTCAGCAAGGCTGCCAACGCCGCCAACGAGGAGCAGAAGCTCAGAAGTGCTGCGGGACGCGCGGCTATCACCGAGGAGGAGCACAAGACCAAGAGCGCTGCTGGACGCGAAGCAGCGCAGACGAAGGCGACGACGAATGGCATGCGCATGCACGCCAGCAACGACAGGCAGACGATGCGCGTCGAGCGCGACGTACACAAGCGCGCAGACCACGACCCGCACGACGACTCGGGCCTCAGCCTCCGCTCGGACGTCTCTCCAAGCGCCGAGCGCCACCCGCGCAAGGCGGAGAACTCGTTCGGCCCGCCAACGACGGACGCATCGGGCGCACAGGCCGTCAAGCGCCCCCTCTCGGCGCGCCTGGAGGAGCGTGACGGCCCCCCGATCGAGGGCCGCAAGCGCCTGCGCTACGAGACAACGTCGCTCGAGGAAGGCGAACACCCGCCCGAGCGCGTCGAGACGATCCAAGAGCGCATGGACCGCATCTCCGAGGCAGCCGAACGCCGCGAGGCCGGCCTTCGCCACAGCTACAACGAGCGCTGCACTGCCAAGGCTGCTAAGGCGGTGCAGGAGGACGCCGATCGTCGTGAGGCCGCGGAGCGTCGCAAGGAAATTGACCGCCGCGAGGAGCTGGAACGTCGCGAGGCCGTCGAGCGCCGTGAGGCACAGGAACGCCGCGCACTCGCGCCCCGTGGCGAAGTGACGCCGCGCGGAGCGGTCGCTGAGCGTCGAGAGGAAGTCGACCGTCGCGAGGCCATGGAGCGCCACCAGGCACTCCTCGCAAGCAACGACCGCAACTCGATGCACCCGGCCAATCGTCCGAGCGACCACCTGTCCATCATCGGACGCTGGTGGGACGACCGCATCTCCAACGAGTGGCGTCTGCACGACCTGCTCTCCAGCTGTACCGCACACACGATCGGTCAGCGCAACCTCAAGATCTTCTTCGACCCGCGCGAGCCGCACTCCATCGCCACGGCGCAGCTCGAGAGCGAGCTGCGCACCGACATGAAGAAGAGCAGGGTGAATGTCCGCAAGGACCGCCTGCGCCTCGAGTTCCCGCGCGGCATCACACACGCGGGCAGCAGCATCGGCCCGTCGATCACGCTCGACGCCATGGTGTCGATCGCACAGGGTCTCACCGGACGTGCAGGCACTCCTGACGTGGTGCTTGGTCGTGACTTGTGAGTGCCGGCACGCGAAGCCGCCCCTGTCTCGACGCTGACGCCCTCCGACGTGCCTGCGCTCCCGTCCGCGCTCAGCATCAACTACCACGCCCTGATCTTCATCCGCGTCTCCTGCGACAACGGCCGCTTCACCTCGCCGATGAAGCCCGACGTCGAGATCCCGCTGCGCCTCATGAGCTACTGAGCGCATCGCGCAGCAGCGCGGCCGTCGGCTTGGCCCGCGTGGCGCGCCCCGAGCGCGTCCCAAGGGGCCTCCGAGAGGCTGCAGCGTGCGCAGGAGCGTGGCTCTCGCCTGCGACTTCCGCACCGTCACCGTCCCGACCACCTTCTCGACCGCACTACCTTCTCGACACGTCACCGACGACCCGGCCTTTGACCCCTGCGCGCGCCAGCCCTGAAACTCTGTCAGATCGCATCGCACCGCCTTCCCGTTCCGCCGCCAATGCATGTTGTCTAGCGAACGCCTCCGGAGTGTGCGGCCGCCAGGAGTGAGGATTACGAGAGAAAGGCAGAGCGGCCGACTGGGCGTGAAGGCTAGGTGAGAAATACAATCGGCGCGCGGCATGTGCACGCTGCGTTGCCGGACAGGAGCGACAAAGGCATGTGGGGCACCAGGAGAATCTTGGTAGATAGGGCACGCAAGGAGCGCGAAGCGGAGATGCAGAGCAGCGAGGTCGGCGGGTGTCCAGGATGCGCAGTGCTTCGCTCTCAGTCGATGAAGGCGGCGTGTGCTCGCTTGGCGGATCTGCAGACACGGAGCGTCAGTGTGCAGTCCAGCATGCGCCTTCGATCTGCCTGCCACACTCACTTCTCGAGCAGCACGTGCAGGTCGCGCACGACGATGCGCAGCACGACGTTGGCGAAGAAGTCGGCGCAGCGGCGCAGCTTCGTCTCGACGACGGCACGCAGCTCGTGCGGCAGCGCCGCGTACGTCTCGACGCCTGCCGATGGCGCCGAGGCGCCTGGCGGCTGCCGGGAGTGCAGCAGAGCTTGGAGGTGCGTGCCTGTGCATGCGAGGATCAGCCACAGCACACCAGCCTGGCGAGGCTCTGCACGCACCAAGGATCTGAGATCGGCTGAACAGCCGCGCCAGTGCCTCGATGTACGACGCCGGCGAGTCCGAGCTGCGAAAAGCGGAAAGCGTCAGTCCTGCGCGCACACTTCAGCCGTGCGCCGCGACTCACTGCTTGGAGCCATTGGTCATGCGATCGAGCGAGCGCGTGAGCTTCGAGCCAAAGGCGCCGAGCGACGTCTGATGGCGACGAGTGTCAGTCGCACGCCAGAAAGGAGTTGACTGTATGCCTCTACTCACATTCGCCTTCTTGCCGGCGACCGTCTCGAGGAAGCCGAGCTTGCGGGCGAGCGAGTTCTGCACCTCGACGAGCACCGCATCAAAGTCCTCGAGCTGCTTCGCAAAGCGCGCCGCATGCGCGATGCCCAGTCCCGGCTGGCCCGGCGGCGGGTTGAGCAGCGCGTGTCCAGCCTGCTCCAGCGCGTCGATGGCGCCAGCGACGACATCGAGCATGCGCACCTTGGCCTCGATGGCCTGCAGCTTGGCGCCGGCACCCGGCTGCACCCACAGCTCCTTCGGCACGTAGAGGCGCCGCGAGATGAAGGCGCCACGCACGATGCTGAGATGCAGCTGGCGCATGAGGTGGAAAGGCCGCAGTGCCGGAGCAGCGGGCACGGCTGGCATGACCGACGTCTCGGCCGGGCCACCGCCGACGCCGAGCCACGGCAGCACGAGCACCTTGTTTGCCGAGTTGAAAGAGACGGCCGACGGCACCACTGCCGCAGAAGGCAGGCCAGTCGGGAACAGCGTAGCAAAGCTCGGCGTGCGAGAGTCGCCGCCATGCCCACCGATGCTGCTGTTCGCGGCGCTCGGATGCAGTGCGGAGATCGGCGAAGATGGCGGATCGAGCGAGTGATAGCCCGGCGACGAGGAGAGCGTGTGCAGGAAGGAGGACTCTGCGCGGACTGTCATGCTGCTGTCGGTGTGGCTCGGCGGAGCGATCCTCAAAGACGGCGCTGGGCCGCCTGGAGCCGACGGCAGCGTGGGCGAAGTGGCAGGCATGGACGCCTTGCGCGTGATGCGTGGCACTGCGGGCGGCGGCGAAGATTCTGCAGCGTGCGGCGGCATGAAGCCTGGCGGCATGGCCGGCCGGCGGTTGCCGGGCTGCGAGAGCGCTCGCTTGCGTCCCAGACTGCTGTCTCCACTCGTGCTGTCCGTGTCGCCGCGCTGTCGCCGCTGCGGCATGTGCGGCAGGTCCGCTGCTTCCATTGTAGGCGTGGCAAGCGGACTAGGCTCGGCCGACGACAGACCGCCCATGGTCGGCATAGGCAGGCTGAGAGAGCCGTCGCCGCCTGGGCCACCCACGTTCTTGCGCCGCTGGCTAATCGTCCCTGCGCTCACTGTCGGACTGACGAGAAGGCGATGCTCAGGCGATGCCTCGCGACCCACTGTAGCCGCACGTGCGCGTGCTGAGGACGAAGAGTTGGAGGACGACGACGACTGCAGCCGCAGCATGTCCTCCGACTGGCGCGGCTGTGGCGGCGGCGGTGGCAGCGACACCACAGCTGGACGCTGCGACTCGTCAGCGCCGGCGGGCTTTGGCGGAGCACCGCCCTCGCTGCTTGGTCTCCTCTCCATTCTTTGCGCGTCTTCGACTTCCGTCTCAATCCCGAGCGGCGAGGGAATGTGAGACAGCGAGCCAACAGCTCGAGAGCCGGCCGCTCGAGAGCTTTGCACACGAGGCACTGGCGGCACGCTGCGCGTAGGCGGCGCTGTGTCGCGCTGCAACTGCGCTTCGTCCGGCCGAGGCGTCGCGGCATCGTGCGAGACGAGATTGGGGTCGATGTCGAAGTACGGCGTCGCGGGCGTGCGCACCTCCTCATCGATGCCCAGTGACCGCTGCAGTACTGCATGCCGCGCTGGCTCTGGCAACCGCAGGCCTGAGCTCTGACTCGACGAGGCGCCGTTGGCAGATCTAAACGAGCCCTCCGAGTCGGAGCGCCCATGCTCGTGCCGCGTCGGAGCACTGGCTTCGAGCAGCATCTCGTCGCGCCCCACCGGCGAGCGCGGATCCGGCTCGCGCTCGCGCTGTATCGAGATAGCTGGCGTCGGTGCTGTGCGCGCATTGCTTGAGAAGGCAGCAACGGCCGCTGCAGCGCTCTCTTCGCGCCCTCGTTGCCGCGCAGCAAGCGCCAAGCCGTTGCTGAGCGCAGGCGATGGCGCGCCACCGAATGCGCCGCCTTGCCGCGCATTCGCCATTGACGGACTGCCGTGCTCCGACGGCCCAGCCTCGGTAGCAGGCCAGTGCTGCACGGCCGAGCGCCGCGGCGTGCGATCGGCGTGCTCTGCGTTTTCCGAGCCCTCGCTCGAGAGATCCGACTCTGGCGAGTAGATGAGCGCGAGCAGCCGGATGCGATCGGCGTACGTATCGTGCTGAGCGCGCCTGGTCAGCGATAGCACAGCGGCACCACCCAAGTCGCTAGACTCACAATGACTTTGAGCCTTCGCCGCTCCTCCTCGCGCGTCACCTTCGTGCGCCGCTGCGAGTTCCTCGGCGCGATGCGCTCCATGACCTCCTGCAGCAGGCGCACAGCCTGCTTGTACGCGGCAATGGCCTCAGGCACATTGTTGGCGCTGTCGAGCAGCACGGCGCTCTGTGCCTTCTGCAGCGCAATCGTGAGGACGTTCTTGCTGCTCAGCGGCACGCCGGGCTGCAGTGGACCCGCAGCGGATGGCGCGCCAGGCACGGCGCCGAGCTCCAAGATGGCAGCGTCTGACATCTGTCCGGGCCGCGGCGACGGCGAGGCGTGATTGCCTCTGCTCGTTGATCGCGTTGCACTCTGCTGAGCCTGAGCAGAGCCGCTGCCAGCGCGCAGAGCCGTTAGGCCCATGCCGTGTGCAGCGCTGCCAGTGCTGCCGCTCTCGCTCGAGCCGCCAAGACTCGGCATGGCCTGATGCGAGCGCGCATCCTGGCCATTCTCTCCTCTATCTCTTCGTCTGTCGGCCTCACGCTCCCACTCCCGCTCCCGCGTAATCGGCGGCGAGGAGCTCGATGAGCTGGCTGCCTGCTGCATCGCCACTCTGCTCGCCTCTTGCTCCCGCCTGTATGCCTGCTGCTGCTGCCTGTATGCCACTGCAGCCGCAGCTGCTGCCGTCTCGCCGCTCTCCTGCGAGTCCTGCTCCCTCTCGCGCAGAGGTGCAGCGCCAAGGGTACGCGATGTCGAGGCTCCAGCCGACGAGCCGGCGAGCGAAGGCAGCAGTAGCTCGCGGTGCTGCACCCCAGAGGGTCTGCGCGGCTGCACAGTATGCGCCGGCTGCTGCAGCTGTGCTGCGAGCTCCTCACGTCCGCGCGGAGACGTCGCGCCGCCCGAAGCCGCGCGCCGCACGTCGCCGAGATTCGGAGAGCTGGTGCGCGCCAGCAGCGTTGGTCGAGCGTGTGGCGGGACAGCCGAGAGAACGACATCTGACGAGTCAGGCGCCGACATGTCCCACGAGCGCCCTGCAGCAGCAGCTCCGGCGGCAGGCGTAGCCGAGGATGCAGGCAGGAACGAATCCCGGCGCGAGTACGGCAGCCGCTGCAGTCGGCCAGCCACAGCGACGCCAGGCGAAGAGGCAGAAGTAGGCGTCGCAGCACTTGATGCCGAGCTCAGCCCGGCGGACTCGTCTGCAGCGGCGCGCGTGGGTGAGGAAGTCTGGGAGAGCGAGCCGAGCAGGTCGCTGTGCGAGCCGCTGCGCGTCAGTCGGCGCGGCGGTGTCGTTATTGAGGGTTCTCCGGCTGCGACTACGGCGCTCGGCGACTCGTATGGAGTGGCTGAAGACGCAAGACCAAATGCCTGGCCGAGCGTTGAGCGACTTGGCGCGGCGCCAGCCGGCTGTGAGGAGGGCGCACCGGACGAGGCAGCAGGTGCTAGTGCGGCGGCGCTGCCACTGCCGGCTGCGGCGCCCCATCGCGCCGCCATGGCAGCCACAGCACCACGCTTGCGAGCCGGCTCCTCGACCACGGTCGGCTGCGCCGGCTTCGTGCTGCTCTCGCCCGAGACGGAGCGGCCCATCTGTGCGCCGAGGCGAGAGCCGCGCGAGGGGCGCGTGACGCGCGGTGCGGCCATGCCGCTCGGCGCCTCGTCGTCGGCGGGCGCCGTGAGGTCGAAGCTGCTGCTGCGGCGGCGCATGAGCGACGGCCCAGCGGCGACGGGCGGCGCTGCGTCGGCCATGCTGGATGTGCGGGGCTGCGCTCAGAGCGGCGCGCGCAGCGAGCGGCACATGGGACGAGGCGGGGTAAGGGCGCGCGCCGCAGTGGGCCGGGTCGAGGGTGCGCGGCTGCGTCTCGGTGGTGGTGGTGGAGGAGGAGGAGGAGGTGAGAGACGGCGGAGCTGGATGCGCAGCACGGGTGTCCGTGCTGGAGTGATGGGCGCAATGACGATGCGTGAGAGGGCGCTCGTCGGCGGTGCTTGCTGTTGCTGTGCTGCGAGGCGCACGCCGTGAGAGCGTGCTGTGACGCGCCGCGCGGCCGCGCGCCGTGCGCCGAGCCGCGCTTGCGCCCCTGGCCGCTGCCGGCGGCCGGGCTTGGGCCTCCTTGCTGCCCCTCTCATCTCCCTCTCCGGAAGCGGCGAGAGCGCCAAGCTGCACCCTGTGCCAGCTGATGAATCTAGCAGCTGCGTCGAGATCGTCTGCAGCTCGCGATGGATGAGCGGTGAAGCGAGGGCGAGACACGCTGTGAGGTGCGGTGAGGTGCCCCGTCGCTCTCGCAGGTCGCGCGGCGTGGAGATGCATGATGGCGCTGCTGGCCGTGCGACCTTCGCGCGCTGGCGAGCAGCCATCTCGCTTCACTCCTTGCTCCACAACACCTCGCACACCAGCCCGACCTCGCCCTCTCCTCGCTGCCCAGCCATGGCCAGCACATCCGCGGCGCCCGCTGCCGGTGCGGCCTCCTCGCTGCCCGATGCGCTCTCCACGCTGCGTGCCTCGCTGCCGCTCAGTACCGGCTGCTGGAGCGATGCGTCCGGCGTCTCCGTCGAGTCAGCCAAGGCGACGCATCTGCAGCTCTCCGGGCATCTCTTTCCTCGCAGCACGGCCACGCGTCTCGTGCGGCCCAGTGCGCCCGACAATGCCACGCCCAGCACGGCGCCGCAGCACTTCTACGCGCTCGACGACCTCGTCTTTGCCAGCCTCTCGCGCGACGAGAGCTATGCTGCCTACCTGCTGGCGGCGAACCGCACGGAGGGCATGGCCGGTCGCCACTTGAACGCCCTTGAGCGCCCGCGCGTGCTGAGAGCGCTCGAGCAGGAGGGCGAGATGGAGCTAAGCGAGGCGGAGCTGCAGCGGCGCCTGGAAGGTGAGCAGAGCCGGCACGTCGAGCGAATCGGACGCAGGGGGCCTGCAGGAGCACTGCAGGAGCTCGCTCCCTGCTCATGACGAGCGAGTCTTGCTTTTTGCCGTGCCATCATGACTACGCTCTCCGTCTGGTCGAGCGCGAGCCGCGCCGCATCTGTTGCGCTTCAAGCTGACACGCTTTCTGCCTCAGCTCCCAGCAGCAGCACAGCACCTGCCGCTCAGGCAGCAGCTGCGCCTAAGCGCGCCTATGTGCCATCTCCCGCCGATGCTGCCTTCGTGAAGCGCCTGCGCACGCAGAACGTCGAGGTGGTGCTGCGAACGCGGTCGCATGCCTTGCGCGGACCACGAGCAGCGACGGGTGCTACCGCCGACTTCGCCTCTGCACACAAGGCGCTCGCACCTCTGCTGCGTGGCGCTACTACTGGCGGGGCCCAGTCTGCGCCTGCTTCTCGCGCCGCAGCAGCACCGGCAGCAGGCCAGCCGAAGCGGCGGCGTGGCGATCCGATCATCGTGCTCAGCAACGCACCGACGGCACTGCTGGGTCTCTCCAACCTCTCTGCTTTGCTGGGCGGCGGCGTGTACATGCCGCGCAGCAGCGGCTCCAGCGGCGAGACGATGCTGTCGCTGGAACGACCTGGCCTGCCGAACGGACTGCGGCAACGCTTCCTGGTCGTTGACTCGACGGAGGCGCTTGCTCGCCTTGGCGCAGGAGGAGCGGATCCGTGGGAGCGTGTCGTGGCGGTGTTCACGAGCGGTCAGACGTGGCAGTTCAAGGGCTACAAGTGGAGCGAGCCGCGCGAGCTCTTCAGGCATGGTAAGTTGTGTAGTGCTCGCATCGCCCTATCAGCATCGCTGATTCTTCCTCGCTGCGACAGTGATGGGCGTGTACGTGCGATGGGCAAACGACGCAAGAGCGCCGAGCGTGCGCGACTGGAACGTCACGGAGCTGGCTGTGAGTCGGCTTTTTGAGCCGCCCTCTCTGCTTCTGCTGACGACTTCCCGCTCTTCCAGGTGGACCGCACGAAGCGGCATACAGACAAGCAGCTCGTGGCGCACTTCTGGCGCAGCCTCGATGCGTGGGTGGCACGCAACAAGCCGGACCTGGCGCCGCGCGGTGCAGTTGAGGCGCGGTAGCGAATGCAAAGCATAATCTAGCAGCGACTCTGGGACTTGCCGCGCGGAGAGTAGCGTTCCACTTGGCTGTGCGCCCGCTATGCAGCTGCGGAGTGTTCGTGCGAGCCAGTCCATGAAGCGCAGAGGTCCTCGTCTCGTGATGCGAGCGACGAGCGCAAGGCAGTCCTGGGCCTGAAGCGCGTGCCCGACGTGCTTTCCACGCTCCTCGCGACCCCAACGCTGCCGTGAGGCCCTCCACACAGAGCTTTGTCTGGGCCGTTCCTTCCCGCTGAGGCTTACTGCGCAACGACATTCATCCTGCGCATCGATCTCAATTTGCTCGGCATCGCAAGTGCGAGTGTGTGGAGCGAAGCATGAGCTTGCAGCAGCAGCAGCGGCGCGCGCCATGCTCAACGGCCCTCGCACGCGCACATGCCGGCGCCAACGGCTCGCAACCACGCGCGCATCCCTCGCCGTCAACTTCCACCGCTGCAAGCCCACCTGCCAGCAAATCCTCGGCAGGCTCAGCACTGGCAGCATGAGAGGTGAGCTCGGTGCACAGCTGACGTCTGAAGTCCTGCTCACCACCACCTCTCCTCTCTATCACTCGCGTCCAGGCTTCGCACGCGGCACGCAGCCATGCGTCTCGCTCCTCTCCTCGGGCTCCTCGCAGCCGCACAGCTGGCGCATGCACAGACCGTGACGCCCGTGTCGGCAGCGGCACCGGCAGCTGCGTCAGCACCGATACTTTCAGCGCCGCTCTCTGCGCCGCTCTCTGCGCCGATAGCGGCGTCATCGTCCTCGGCACCTCCCCTCTCGCTGCCCGATGATGCTGGAGCCTCGGCAGCTGCGCCCTCGCCTACCGCCTCGCAGGCGTGCGATCCACGCCGCAGTGTTCTCGATGCGCTCTCACATCGCTTCCGCTCTGACTGTGGGCCAACGATGTGGTGCGACTCGTCCTTCGGCGCCAACGACGTGCCCTCTGCGCCCACGCCTAGCGCCACAAACACGACTGATCCGGCAGCCGTGGCGCCAGCGCCGCCTGGACCTGCCGGCGCGCTCGTCGACACTTCATCGCGACAGAGCGACACTCAGGGGCAGAGCTCTGCTTCAGACGAGGGCGACGAAGGCGATGATGAGTATGCTTCGGGTGCAGACGACGCATGGGAGCGCCGGCTGCTTTCCGACCCGACGGCACTGCAGGCGCAGCGGCGCCGCGTCGTCGTGGCCGCTGCGCCTCCAGCTCGACGTGGGCGGGGTCCAGCCCACCACAGTGTCGTGCTATATCCTCGCGCCGCAACGGCCTCGCAGAAGGCTCCTGCACGGCCCACTACCACGCCGGGTGTCGCGGCTGCGGCACCAGCTGCGACGGTGGGTGTGTGCCGTCCCAAGGGATGCCGGCGCGACGAGTATCCGTTCGGCTATCGAGGCGTGCCTACTGCTCAGCTGCCGCCTCTCTGTGGCGCAGGCATGGTGCGTCGTGGCGTCGCGGATGGAGACGCGAGCTCTACGTGCTGACACTGCTGCAGTTCTGCCCCGATGAGGAGTCGGCCTGTCGTCCGCTCATTCCTCTCGGCCAGGCGTGTCCGTTGAACCGTGACGGTGAGCGTGCTGGCCACAGCACGCTGTCGGCTTACTGACACAGCCCCCGTCTAGACGCCTGCTCTGCAAGCACCAACTCGCGACGGCAGCTCGAGCTGCCGCCCTCTGCACTCGGCAGCTCTTCACCGGCAAGCAGCACGCCCAACGCATCGTGGCCGGCACCAGCGACGGTGTGGTCAGCGCCCAAGCCTCTCTGCCTTGCCGGCACATGTGTGCTCGGCGCTGTGCCGGCAGGCGGAACCTGCACGCTTGACCACACGCAGTACCTCGGCTACGACATTGCGGGCAAGGAAGTCGGCGAGACAGTCAGGTGCGTTGACCAGATCGAGCGCAGCAGCGCACAGCTGAAACCGTCGCTCAGCCGTGATGACTGCCTCGACAAGCTCTTCTGCGACGAGACGACGGGCACATGCGTGCCTGAGAAGGGCTTCGGAGAGGCATGTGCCGCGGACCGCGAGTGCCTAGAGGTGAGAGCTGAGCGCGTCCTCCTTCATGCTGGTGCCGAGGCTGATGCGGAACGAAACGCAGTACAACTGCAACAGCCGGCATACATGCGACCTGCCTCCGGAGGCGCCGAACCGGCTGCCCAGCTGGGCATTCGGCCTGATCGGGCTGGCCATCATCCTCAGTGCGTAATTGCCTTTCCTGCCGCTTGCACAGGCTCGGCTGACCGTCAGCCACCCACAGTCCTGCTCGGCACAGTGGCGATGCTCTATCGAGCGCACACCTCGCACCGCGCCGCTCGCGCCGACGAGATCGACCGCTACTTCTCCGAGCAGTGGACGTACCGGCAGAGCATCCTCTCGATGCACGCCGCGTACGTCATGGCCGGAGGGCCGCCGCTCGTGGGCACTAGTGCCGCAGCGGCGGCGCTCAGTCCGAAGAGCCACAGCAGCGAGACGTTTGGCGCTACGACGGCGACGCAGACCAGACAGCTGTTCGCGGCAGACGTGTCGCCGAGGAGCAACGGCGCCGACCTCGCCGATGCGGCGCAGGCGTGGAGCTCGTCCTCAGGCAACCAGAATGGCGCGGCCTCCGCCTCGGCGGCGCCAAGTCTGGCTCGCAGGAAGGCAGTGCCGACTAGCTAGAGCTGATAGAGAGTGAGCGAATGTAAATGAGATTCGACAGGCCCCTTCGATGGCGATGACCGTGTGTGTGGCTGGAACAAGACGCGAGGCGCGCAGCGCAGTGGGTATGGAGAGGGACGTGATGCGCGGAAGGTCGTGCAAAATGAGAGTGATGCGCGGCGTGCCTTGCGCCAGAAAGGTGGTGGAAGTGGGCTTCGTGACGGGGAAGAGAAGTTGGACCAATAGTAGTAAAGAGAGAGCGCGAGCGGGTGGCAGATGCGGCGGTGCGCTCCTGCGAGTGCCGAGCCGACGATGCGCAGCGGCGGGTCCTCGAGCGCAGCAGGAAGTAATAGTGAGCCTGCGCTGAGGCCTCGACGGACGAGAGAGGCAGTGCTGCAATGCGCTATGAAGCATACGCTCCATCGCTGGCGCGCTTTTCGTTCATGACCTCGAGCGGGTACGCAGCGTCGTCGTCGTGGCGGGCGCCGCCGGTCGGAGACATGCGCGAGCTCGAGCCCGCCGTGTGTGGCGCAGGCGACGCAGCGTTGGCGGCGGCGTAGAGGTCGCGATTGCTGCCCTTCTGTTGCAGCGTGGCACGAGCGTACTCCGAGTGAGCATCGCGCGCGGCGAGGAAGCCATTGTGCTGCAGCGCGTGCTTTTCGGCATCGCTGCCTGCACCGCCAGCAGCTGATGAAGAGCCGGCGACGCCTGGCCGGTCAGGCTGGTTGAAGCTCGAGCGTGCACTGGTGCTGCCGCCTCGCGTGAGGGGCGGCATGGGCCCGGAGCCGCCGGCTGCGCCCTGCGGACCCATCTCGGCCAGCGGCTGGTCCGCCAGCGTGAAGGCCACGCTGTCGTTGGAGTTGCTCTGCGTGTCCGTCTCGCGCTCGGGCACCTCGCGTCGCCGTGTCTGTCGGAAGTAGGAGCGACGCGTTTGCTTGACGTGGTCAAACGGCAAGAAGCTGGCAGGCAGGAGTCAGCCGAGTCGCCGCACAGGCGCACACACCAGCCTGCACTCACTGCTCTTCCATCAGGCGCAGCTCGGGACTCAGCGACGACGCCTCGCGCTTCTCGTCGCGCTTCTTGGCCTTGAGTGGGTTGTCCTCCAGCAGCAGCTCCTCGAGCTCGTGCGTGGCGTCGAAGTTGGCGCGTTTTGACTAGAGGCGAGTCAGTGGCCAGGCCTTCAACGCGGCTCAGCGGCAGATGCGACTCACATCTGGCTCGAAGGGCGGCACCGCCTCCTTCCTCTCAATGGCGCCCCAGTCCAGTCCGTCGAACCACGGGTGCCGCTTGAAGTCCTCGATGCCATTCTTGCAGCCGAGGCGCTTCCTTGTGTCGCGCTCCAGCAGCGCACGGATGGCACTCATGCCCTCGCGCGAGACGATGCTGTCCACGTTCTCCGGGAACGGGCAGCGGTCGTGGAGGATGGAGTGGGTGAGGGCGCTGTTCGTCTTGCCGCGGAAGGGCCGGCGACCGAAGAGCAGCTCGTACGCCGTCACGCCGAGCGACCACCAGTCGACGGTGGAGAGGTAGCCGCGCTTGGCGAGCACCTCGGGCGCCATGTACGCCATGCTGCCCGCCACGCTGCTAAGAGGTCGCTTGGGGCTGAAGTGCACGGCGATATTGAAGTCGGTCAGATGCGCATGGCCCTTCTCGTCGAGCAGCACATTGTCCGGCTTGAGGTCGCGATGCACGATCTGCAGCTTGTGCAGGTAGTCGAGGCCCAGCGCCAGCTCGGCCACGTAGAAGCGCACCACGTCCTCCTTCATGTTGCCGGCGCGGTCGAGGTGGAAGCGCAGGTCGCCGCCGAGCATCAGGTCGAGCACCATGAACATGTTCTCGTCGTCCTGGAATGCGTACTGCGGGCAGCGGCCTCAGCGCTGCTTGACTCATTCTACTCCACGCGACACTCACGCGCAGGTTGCAGATGAACGGGCTCTCCATCTCCTCTAGCAGACGCCGCTCCTGGATGATGTTGCTGACTGCCCGCATCTTGACGCACTTGGCCTTGTTGATGTACTTGAGCGCATAAAGATTCTGCCATCAAGCAGCGCATCAGCATGCCGCAAGCCTGCACGCCCCCGCTGCGATGCTACGTGACGCACCTTGGTCTGCTTGTGCTGCACGACGCGCACCTTGCCGAACGCGCCCTTGCCGACGGCGCGCAGCAGGTAGAAGTGGTAGAGATCCACGGGCCCATCAAAGTCTACCACCTGTGGGGCCAGCTTCAGGAGGATGCGCCGGGCAGCCAGCCGGCGGCACTCACCTCGGCCTTGCAGCAGGAGCAGATGGCACCCATCGTGCGAGAGTGCCCGACGGCCCGGCCGCTGCACTACAGGGTTGCGTGCGGCGAGAGCGCAGTCGCGTACCAGACGTGTAGCAAGAGCACGAGTCTCAATGCTGGCGTACAGTTCGCGCAGAGAGCTGCAGCGCAGGCGGCACGAGAGCGGCCGCTACGCGGGGCAAGAGCGCTGCGGCGGAGGAGATGGCGGGCGCCAGCTAGCGCCTGGGCGTCGCTGCTGCTGTTGCGAGAGGGGCGCAGAGAGTGCGGCTCTGAGAGGCGGCAGCGTGGCGGCTGGAAGCGCGAGGATGGATGTAGAGAGGTAGAAGAGAGAGAGCGGCGCTGGGCGAGAGAGGAGGAGCGGGCAGGCACGCGCACCGACGCGCGAGAGCGGGGCACGAGCGAGAGGCGCGATGCCGTGCGCGCGTTGCCGCGGATGTCAGACGGCCGGTGCGACAAAGGAAGCTGCGCGACGGACAGGAGCAGGCACGGCGCCACGGCAGGAGAAGCGAGCGCTTGGCTGCTGCGCCTGTGTGGCGGGAACAAGGAGGAAGGAATGGGTGGGTGCGAGAGACAAAGGAGGAGGAGAAGCGAGCGGCGGTGCTGCGTGATGCTCCCGCTGTTGAGGTACCGTCGCGCGGCACGGCGAGGCGGCGGCGCGTGGCTGCATCTGGCTGGCGGCCGCGGTGCGGCGGCGGCGCGCGGTGCGGTGCGGCACGGCGGCACGAGCGTCCGCTGCTGCTGCTGCTGCACCTGTGCTGCTGCCGTGCCCGAGCCGTGGCGTGGCGTCGGCGCTGCGGCGGGGCGGCCGCCGAGCACGCCGCTGCCGCACGCACCCTGCATGCGTCGCCGCGAGGTGGCAATGGCGGCGTCGGAGGAGGAGCGCACCGCTCGCCTCCTCCCTCTTCCTGCGGTGCTGGCAGGAAGAGGGAGGAGGCACGCATGCCTCGAACAAAGCGCAGGCCGGCCCAGCTGCTCCTTTGTGCCTCTAAATGGGAGCCTGCGTTCCGCTGCTTCGAGCTGGACGAGCCGATGCGAGTGCTGCGGCAGCACGTGCGCCTGCTATTTCCGCACAGAGCTGCGCTGATGAGGCGGCCTAGGAGCGCGGAGAAGGAGCAGCCACATCGCGGGCATGGAGCGATGAGCCCGATGGGTGTCGTGAGGAGGCGCAGCGGGCGCAGCGGGCGGGCAGCGTGGGAGCGCCGAGGGGCAGCGTCAGGCACGCGGCCGCACGCCCTCGGCGACCACCGCCGGCCGGCCGAGGCAAGCGCTAAGGCCAGCGTTGAGCCATCTCTCCTCCTCGCTTTTGCATCCCCTCTGCAGCTGCTGCGCTGAATGCGACGCAGCTGCCCGCTCCGCGAGTGTGAGCGGCGCCGCTCGTCGTCGAGCTATGCTCCCAGGCATGCACCCCTGCCGAGGGCGCAGCGAGACATCCCATGCGCCCACGTGCAGCGGCGCACGCTCGGCCTCGCTCGGCACGCTCCTGGCCATATAAGGGCTTGGCGACGTCAGCGCTCCGCTCGCTGCCGGATCGCCTAGCCGTGAGGGCTAGAAGCTGAGAGAGGTGCGGCTGAGCCTGCAGGCCGTCAGCGCAGACTCGAGACCGCTTCTTCCGCCAGAAAGTGCGCTCTCGCGACTACACTTGTCGTGAGCCGTGACAGCGAGCGAGCTGCTGCGGCCTCTTCTCTCTACCATGCTCGTGTAGACGCTCTCAGCAGCTGCAGGACTGTCCGTAATCCGTGTAGACGCTCTCAGCAGCTGCAGGACTGTCCGTAATCCGCATCTCTTTTGTGGACACTGCTCCATCTTCTCAGATCGTGGCGCACTCGGCGTCCGGCGTCTGCAGCGCCCAACTCCGCGCTCCGATGCCGTCGAAGCCACGCCGATGCCCTCTCGAGTCCGCGACTCGCAGCGAATACAAAAGGCTGGCCGGCTGGCTTTGTGCTAGTCTGGCCTCTCAGTCGAGATGCACGACGATCCGAGATCGCAGTGTTGCGCATTCGGAGCCGAGAAAGGGCGCCAGAGAGCCTGACACGGCCTGACGCGTACCTCCCCTGGCTGCAACTGCCAGCCATCTCAGCCCGGCCGCGACATCTCCTGGACCACCCGCTGAATATATGTGGACAGAGCTCTCATCTCGATTTCAGTGAGCATACAGTTGCACAGATGTGACGGGTGCGAGAATGACAGATGCCGCCGAGGTGGGTGGGCAGCAGCAGGAGGCGCGCCTCGGAACGCGGCCGCTGCACGACGGCGGCGCACGGGCGCACACACGCGCGACGTTGAGGCGCGCGCAGCACCTTCCTCACCGCCCTCATCCTCGCCCAGCATGTCCAGCGACCCCTACCACACCTTCGCCGCAGACCTGCGCAAGGCGCTCGCCAGCGCCTCGGAGCGCGCCTCTGCGCTCTCGCGCGCCCGCAGCTCCGGCGCCGCGCGCGACGCCCAGCGCAACGCCCACGACGAGCTGCTGGATGCGCTCGAGGCGCTGCAGGCCGACATTGAGGATGTGCGGCAGAGTGTGGTGGTCGTCGCACGCACGCCGGAACGCTTTGGTGTGGAACATGCGGAGTTGGAACGGAGGAGAGCGTTCGTGAAGGAGTGCGAGGAGGAGTGGCAGGTGCGTCTGTGCGGCTGGGTAGCACCTGGCGCGCTCGGGCTGACAGGGTGCGCACGCAGAGGCTTTCGCGCGCTGCGGGATCGAGACCGTCTATGGGAGCGCGAGGCGCTGATATGGAAGAGGGCGCGGCCGAAGACGATGATGTGGAGGCTTTCGAGCGGGAGCAGCAGCAGGTGAGTGTCGCGAGCTGAGGCGGTCGGGCACGAGGGAATGGCCAGAGAGTAAAGTCGAGCTCTTGATGAGGAGGACGGCGTTTGCACTGTAGCACGTCTGCTCTACTCAGCTGAGCTTCGCTGGCTCCATCCTTCAGTCGCTGCTGGCAAAGCAAGACTCCACCCTCTCGATGATCGGGCGCTCCATCACGACGCTGCGGGACCAAGCCTCGACGATGGGGCACGAGATTGCAGAGCAAGTCGAGCTCGTCACGACGTTCGACACTGAGGTGGAGCAGAGCCAGAGCCGCTTGAAGCGCGCCATGGGCCGCATGGACGAGCTCGCGAGAAGGAGCGATGAGCGCTGTGGAGGGTGGTGTGTGTGGTTGCTCGTCGTGGTGAGTCGCACGTATCGCAAGGGAAGGATGCGCTGCGAGAGGCAGCCTTGCTGATCGCTTGCTACAACAGGCGCTCTTCTTCGTCCTGCTCCTCGTCGTCCTCATCTAGCTCGGACCACGGACCGCGAGCAGCGGCCGCGCGGCTTGCCAAGCGCTTCGTCTCTGCTTGAGGACTTCGCCGAGCTTCGAGAGCGCACCATGGGCTCATCTCGCTCGAGACGCCTGCCGGCTCCATCGCCTGTGCCGCGCACAGAGTCGTGCTGCCGAGATTGCAGCGCAGCCGATCGTCCGCACTCGACTGCTCTAGCACGAGAGCAACTGCGCTGCCACCTGAGCAGGCGCGATCCGACACCCACACGGACCGCCATCGCAGCACCAACAGCGCATGGCTTTCCAAGGCCTCACCAGCCTTGCGAACCCTTGCCCGTGCTGCTTCGCACGCACGTGAGAGCGCTTTGACGAGCCGCTCTGCGATCGCGCGCCAAGCTTTGCGCACCACACGCAAGCACGCAAGGGCTTGCTCATCATCATGCGACCCTGGGGCACACTACGCTCGCCGCCAGCGTTCCGCACGCTACCGACGGCTTCGACGCTACGACAGGATGCCGCTAGCTCGTCGTTGAGATGCCATGAATGCTACGCAGCGCAGAGCAATGCACCGCGTCGCTACTTCATGTGAAAGCATTCCTTTGAAGAGCGGCTCCGGGCCGGTGCGGAGCCGCGTGGGAAGACGTGCGCTCAGCAGCTCGTGCTTCCGCTGCATGACAAGCGGACCTTCTGGACGGACGTCATGCGCTGAATAGCGCTCGTCGAGCGTCTGCACCACGCCGGCGACAGAGTCGGCTCAACGTCGCGCTCATGCTGAGGCCCCACGCTATGCGTGTGTGGCGTAGAGCACCTGGATCCGCGCGCGGACCCGCACTCTGACTTGCCTGCTGCTGCGGCTGCCGAGTCACGAGCCGAGTGATACCTCTCTTTCCTGCGTCCGTTCGGAAGCTCGCGGATGGCAAAGCTTGGCCGCTCGCTCGCCGCGAAGCCGCCTCAAGAGCAGCTGCGCACCGCTCCACGAAGGAGCTTCCGACGGCGCGAGCTGCTGCCGAAGCCGGCCTTGCCGCCGCGGATGCGAGCCCGACACCTTGTGGAGGTGGATGGAGCACGGCTTCGGAGAAGGGCGGTCTGGTCTTGTGCTGGCCTTCTTGACCCGGCGCGAAGCAGCAGACGGGCCGGCGCGGGTGAGCGGATGCATGAAGCGAAGCTCTCCTGCTCGTGCGAATCTCCTGCTCTCGAGGAGGCACCGGCAGCGAACTTTAAGGTTTGACGCTACCGCTGCCCATGACGCCGTTGCAGGAGCGTGAGACGGCCCTGGCGGAGCGGGAAATCCGACGAGAGCAGCGTCGCTCTTGCTGCTCGCAAGCCGTGGATGCGCACTTGGGCTGCCAAGCCGGCATGGGATGCTTGACGGGCCGGCCAAGCGAGGACGAGCATTCTTCCCACGCTCAGCACCCGGATCCGCCGGGTGGCTGCGTCGATTTGGCCGCTGGATGCTGCCTGCTGCTGCTCTTGCTTCGGCGTTGCGCCGCTGCGGCCGAGAGGCCGATGGCGCCGATACCGATGGGGCGCCTGACGCTGCGCTGCGGCCGGCTCGGGTCGCTCTTTACGCGCTTGCGCTTGCTGCATGACGCGTCGCGTGCCTCTCGCCGAGCCTCAAGGGCTCCCATGCCGGCTGCTCGTCCTGCCGAGCAGAGAGCGACGTCGCCGAGGCAAGACGGGTGCTGCGCCGCCGGGATGCGAGCGCAAGCGAAGCAGCGCAGAGCGCTCGATGAGGCGGATGCGCAGCGGCGGAGTAGCCAGCACAGGTGCACGTTCGGCTCGGGTGCAGTGTTGTGCTGCCGCAAGCCGGCATGCCATCCGCCTCGCGAGAGCTCGTGCGTCACCGCCCTTTCGACAGCTGCGCCGTGCCCGGGCGGACGCACCCGTTGCCCAGCTGCAGGTTCGCAGGTTGGCCGCAAAGACCAGCCGCTCGACGCCGACGACGCAGTACGCCGCTCGCTGCTGCCGTGCTGGGAACGGGAAGCGCGCGAATCGGGTGCGCGGACTTGTGCCGCGGCGCAGCGAGCGCGTCGGGAAGGTTGCCGCCGCGTTTGGGGCGTGGTCCGTGCAGCTGCAGAGCAAGACGCTCCGGAGCCGCCAGCCCAAGACGGGCTCGGAAGGAGTTCGTAAAGCTGCGCCGGCGCCCGATGAGGACGCACGACGGCGCAGCGGCAGGTCGTTGGGCTTGGCCGCGCCGCATGGGCCGCTGCATGTGGAGCAGCGCTCTGCGCATGTGGCCCTGCACCTGAGCATGCACCTGGGCACAGCGCTGCCGTCCGTGGCAAGAGCAGCAGCTGGCATGCGAGCGCATGAGGGCAGCTAGACGACGACTCCGCTGTGCATGCTCTCATGCTGGCCTTGGTCCTTCTCTCTTGGCTGCCGCTGCAGTGATGCGTAGGGACCCGGGCGGCGCAGCCGAGGTGCGGCCTTCCTTTGTCTTCTGGCCCTCTCGCTGCGCCGTGCAGGGCAGTCTGAGCCGTCTGGTGCCTGCGTCTGCCGCGGGTCGGGATGTCGTCGGTCTGCAGCAAGCATAGCTGTCAGGCAATGTAGAGCTTAGTGCAGCAGAAGAGGCCGGAGCCGGGCGCAGCGCTCGAGCAAGGAAGAAGGCCAGCAGTAGGGCGAGCGCTGCACGCGCCCGGCTCCGGGATGCAGCAGCCGGAAAGGCACATCTTGCCCACCTCGACGCCAAGGGCAAGGCGGCAAATTCGCCCGCCTCGCCACAGGACGGTCGCAAGTGCCTGTGCACGGCATGGCCTGAGTGGGCTACCTTCCGCCTGAAGGAGCGAGGCGGCCCCTAGCGCCCGAGCCCGCTGCGTCTCCTCGAGGCAGGCCTGCGGCAACGGGCGAGCGTCGGGGCGCAAGCGAGGGCAATGTGCGCCACTCGAGTGCATCGTCCCTGAGCCAGTCCTGGGAGTATCTACCCGAGCTAGCCCCTCTGCCTCGATGCCGGCGGCCTGCTGCTCGAGGAGGGCCCATCTGATACGGCTTTCCCAGGTGCTTGCGCCCGCCCAGGCACCCTCGCCACGAGGAGCCAGAGGCAGGCCGACTGCCAGAGGGGATATAAGGTTCTGCGGCACCGAGCGACGACCCCCTATCCACCCACCCCTGCTCACCGATCGCCAGCGAACAGCACGACTCGCGAAGAACGCCGCAGCGCAAGGCCAACATCCACGAGAAGGCTTAAGATGCTCGGCTTGGCCCGTTCCGAGCAGGTCTTCGCCACCTCCTCCCGTCTGCGCTCCCTCTCTGCCTCCGCCCTTTCGCCCGCCGCCATGAAGCTCGCCCGCTGCACGCCCCTGCCGGCTGCGCCACTCGCCCTGACGCGACTCACCAGCCCCTCGGAGGCGGCGCCGCGCCTCTCGCCGCCGCTGCTCGCCGCACTCGGCGTGGCGCTCGCGCTGCTGCTCCTCTCCGCCGTCTGGACGCACCGAGGCGCCTCACGAGCGGCCCTGCAGGCGCTGTCAAGTCGATCGAAGACGGCTCGACGTCACCTGGGCCATTCCCACGCCGGCGAGAAGGTGAGTGCGTCACGCCGCCGCCCTGCTCCCAGGAGGGTCCCACTTTGCGACTCGCGCATCGATGGGCTTGCTCGGTGCGCCGGAGTGGCGTGAGCGTTGTGCGCTGCGGCTGCTTGGAGGTGGTGGTGGGACGCAGGCTCTGCTCGCTTCGCCACGACCCTGTGCGGCTCCGAAAGCGAGCACAAGAGGCAGCGCTCGCTGCGGCGGGCGCGTCGGCGCGGCTCCGAGGGATGCCGGCCGGTCCGCCGCCGCGGCGCGTTCGCTGCTGCAGCTCGCACGCCGCGCCGCCGCACAAGCGTGGGCACGCCGCCGGACTCAGCCGCAGCATGTCTCGGATCCTCAGCTAGGCCAGCAAGCTGCAGCAGCGAGGCGAGCCATGCGTCAAGCATGACGACCTTCAGCGGCAGCCCAGCGAAATTAGGGCTGCCATAGAGCTCGCTGGCTGCGACGTCGTGGAACTCGCGGCCGCCCACCAGCGGCGAGCAGCCCGGAGGCAGCGCTGTCCGAGCGAGTCTGATGCTCACGCCCTGCTCGCCAGCTCTCGCACATCCCAGCTCCGCCTGTCGTCACGATCCCAGTGAGTGCAGGATGCAGTGCGAGGCAGGGTTATCGCTGATATTAGGCATCTCAGCGCCACATCCAGCTGTCGGAAGCCGGACACGAGGCCTATGCTCGCGCCCTCGAGGAGCACGGCGATGTCATCGTCGTGCCGCGCCACGGACGCCTCGAGTATGTCGTCGACTACCAGCACGTCAAGGTGAGCGAGAGCATTCTCGCGGCGCCTCAGTGCTGTGACTGACCATGCCCGACCCGCAGGATGTCCTGACAGACTCGCAGCGCTTCAGCTTCGAGGAGGCCGTGACGCGGATGCTGCACATGCGCTTCATGCTCTGGTTCAAGCAGGGCACCTTCGTCAGCGAGCTCGACCGCCTGGTGCAGGACGGCATCAACCCACGGCTTAACGCAGTCGTCGACAAGGGTAAGCAGTCGACAAGTGGTGCATTCGGCTGCATCTGACAGCTCATTCGCTCCCAGTGTCGCCGATCTTCGTGCAGGAAGTCGAGGAGCTCTTCGAGAAGCATGCCACTGCGGGAGCGGCCAGCGAGGTCGTGATCGAGAACCTCTACAGCTGGGTGCATCGCGGCATTGCACGCGCAATGGTTGTGCTGATCCTCGGCGAGGTGAGCGTGCTGCTCTTGGGGTCTCAAGGGCCGGGCTGACAGGGCATCATGCAGCGCTACCTCGACGAGAAGATGACGCAGCGCTTCATGGCCGTCGTCGGCGCCATTGCGGACCTGAGCGGCATCTACGAGAACGTGAGCTGCACGACGTATTTGCTGCTTCGCTCTCTGCTCACCTCGCACTGTCAGACGCACGGCTGGGCATGGGCACCGGCGCTCTGGTCGCTCAAGACGACGCTCGGCGCCATCTGCTTCACGATCGTGCCGCAGTTCTTCTTCTCCATCGTGCCGCTGCTGTGGCGCAACCGCGAGTCGCACCTCAACGCCGGCCTGGACGTCGACTCGACAGCATTTGCGCCCTTCTTCGACCTGCTGGCGGCGCGGCATCGCAACCGTGTCACCGACCAGCTGAGCTTCCTCAACTTCGTCTGGTGCGCCGTCGTGTGCCTCGGCATCATCTTTGCCTCGGTGCATCAGAGGTGAGCAGCGTCGAAGCTCGCCCTGCGCCTCTCCGCTGACTGTGGACTTGTGCAGCGCCGTGATGGCCGTGTGGTGCATCGCGAACCTCGCCAAGCGGCCCGAGTACATAGACGAGATCCGCGCCGAGTTCGACGAGGTCCTCGAGACGGACGCCGAGGGCAAGAGCGTGCTGGGCCTCGAGGGCTTGCGGCGCAGCGAGAAGCTCGACTCCTTGTGCGTCGCCCGTGCCTGTCGCTCTTGCCATCGCTGACGCTCGAGGTCTTTCAGCATTCGCGAGGTGCTGCGCACCAACAGCTCGCTCTTTGCGCCCGTGCGCTACACGACTGAGCCGGTGCGTGTCGGCAAGTACCTCATTCCGAAGGATGCCCTCGTCGCGCCCTACAGTGAGTGCAGCGTCTCGCTGCTTCCGTGCTCGACAGCTGACGCTCAGCATGCAGTCAAGCGAGCCCACGAGCTAGGCGACGGCGCCGCCGGCAAGGGCGCAAGCTTCGACGGGCGTCAGTGGGTCGGCGTCAAGGCGGCCGTGACTGGCGATGCAGCCTTCATCACCTTCGGCCTGGGCCGATGGGCTTGCCCCGGCCGCCAGCTGGCCATCGCAGAGCTCAAGATGATCACCGGCATCCTCTTCGCGCACTACGACGTCGTGCTCGACGGCGACGAGCTCGTGCCGGGCGACGCCATGAACCGCACGAGCGTCGGGCCGACGAACACGGCGCGCATCCGCAAGCGTGCCGGAGGCATCACTGCCTGATCCGGCTCGAGGGTGCTGGCTCCCTCGCCGTTCGTTCCCTGGTCGTCGACGAAGTCACAGAAGAGAAGCACTTGATCTGATTATCGCTGCGTGTTGATTGATGACGGTGATGATGAGTGAAAGTCGTGCCTGTACCTGTGTGCTGCTCAATGCCGCCTCTCGCGCTCCTTCTTGCGCGCCGCCTTCTCCTTCTCGCGCTGCCGCTCGCGCTCCTCTTCCTCGCGGTCCTCCTTCTGCGCCTGGCGTGCGCTGGGACAGAGACGTCAGCAGCGCCAAGGAGTGGTCGTCGCGAGCGCAAGCTCACCTGCGCAGCTCCTCGGCATACACGTCTGCGGCGCCGGCCTCCATGTCGTCGTCGCTGTCGACGTCGCGGTCGGCGTACCTGAGGAATCGAGCGGTGAGCTGAAGCGTAGCATGATGAGCTCGGTGCGACACTCACTTGCTGCGATCAAGACCCATGGCCTCCCAGATCATGGCGCGATCCACCTTCTCCGAGCGACGCTTCTTGCCCGGTCGCCGCTCCTCCTCCGACTCCGACTCAGTCTCGTAGTCCTCGCTCTCCGACAGCTCGCTCTCGCTCTCGTCGCTCTCCTCGTCGCTCTCTGCATACTGCGTCGACTTGCCCTTCGGCCGACTCGCCGATGGTGCTGCCTTCGCCTTGGCAGAGGCAGACGGCGAGCGACTGGCCTTGCGCTCCGCCTCTTCGCGCAGGAACTTCTCGCGCGGCGTCTCTTTGCGAGCAGGCTTGGCCTCCTTGCCTGCCTCGTCTTCGCTGCGCACCTTGCGCTTGCGCGGCTCGACTTCGTCGCTGCGCCGCTTCTTGTCGTCGGGGCGCACCTTCTTCTTCTTTGGCGCAGGGATGCTCGAGTCGGCGCTGACCTTGGCGCCGGGCAGAAAGTCGGCTGGGTTGCGGCCGTTGAAGGAGCGGACCGGAGCGACCTGGACTGGTGGGCGGACTGGCGGCGCAGCAGACTTGCCGAGCGGCGCCTTCGAAGGCAGCGGCGAGACGCTGTGCTTCGTCTTCGAGCTCGCGCCGTCCTTGCGCCGCCGATTCTCGTCGTCGGAGCTAGCGAACATGCTGTCGGCGCCCGAGTCCGACTCGCTGCCGCTGCCGCTTTGGCTGCTGCGCTTGCCCTTCGACTTGCGCGTCGCCTGGTCGGACGAGAGCTGCGACGCAGCCTGGCTGCGCTTCTGCTCCATGGCCTTGCGTCTGCGCTCGAGCGCCTGCTGCTCCAGCTCGCGCTTCTCCTTCTCGCGGCGCAGCGTCTCGACGTCGTTGGCGCGTGCCGCTCGGTGCTCGCGCTCGATCTCGTCGATGCTGCGATGCACCACGCGGTTCGTGCCGAGCGCCTTCATCTCCCAGCTCGTCTTGGCCGGCGCCGCACTGCTGCTGCTGCTCGCTGCAGGGATGCGTGCGGCCTCGGTGCTGCGGCCAGGCACCATGACGCCAGGCCCCTTCTTCGGCGCGCTCTTGGCCTTCTTGGGCGCAGCGAAGATGGCGGCCTCGCGCCGACGCCGCTGCTCCTCGCGCGTGAGCGCGACCTGCTCGCCGGAGCGAGAGCCAGACGGCCCCTCTGGCCGGCTCTTGCGCTCGCGAGGCTCAGAGGATGCAGCCGGCTGGGACGTGGCCGACGAAGCCTCAGCATGCCGCTGGCTCGGCTGCTGGGCAAGGCATGCGACTCACCTTCTTTGCCTTCTTCTCCGCCGTGCCCCTGATCTTCTCCTCCTCCTCCCTGCGCTCCTTCTCCTGCCTCAGCGCCCTGAGCCTGGCGCGCTCCTCATCTGCCTTTCTGCGCGCGCGCTCCTCGTCCTTCTTGCGTGTCTCGCGCAGCAGCGCCGCCTCGCGCTCGCGGCGCACCTTGAGGCGCTCGGCCTCGTCTGCGGCAGCCTTTGCGGCACGTGCTGCGGCCTCCTTGGCGGCGCGCTCCTCGGCGAGGCGGGCCTGGGCGGCGGCGGTGCGCGCGGCTGCGAGCGCCTGCTGCTTGGCGAACTGCGGCGAGACGAGTCAGCGCCTGCGTCGGCGGAGCGGTGCGGCGAGGCCTGCACGCACGCTGTCGTCTGCGGGCAGCATGCTGCGTGCAGGGCCAGCAGGCGCAGACGTGCGCGCGGAGTGCGAGGCGCGGACGAGGGGAGGACGTGGTCGAGAGAGCCACGTCGCGTCGGCGCGCTCGCGGCGCGCGCGCGCGCGCTGGCGCTCAGGGGCTGAGCGCGCCGCCGCGGCGCCGCATAAAGCGAGGCGCCGCGAGCGCCGTGCCCCTGCTTCACCCCCACCACCTCCCATCCGCATTCCATCCGCCATGCTGCCCTTCGTAGCCGTTCTCGCCCTCTCTCTCAACCTCCTGCTGGCCAGCATGCAGCGCACCGCCACGCACGGCGCGCTGCTCGCGCTGCTGCTGCCCGAGCCAGTGTGCGTCGCTGCGGATGCATCCATCCGCTCGACGCGCTCTCGAGCCGCATCGTGCGGATGGATGCCGCGAGCCGCGCGGTGCTGACGCTCTCTCCGCCTCTCAGGCATGCTCCGACACTGCACATCAGCACCAGCTTCGAGCCCGTCGCTCAGCAGGTGCTCCTCCCGACTCCCACCACGCTCTTCGCGTCCGCGCGCGTCGCGTCGCGCACCACCGCGGCGCGCCCCATCCCCCTCTCTGCCTCGCCGCTCGCGGCTGGTGTACCTATCTTATCCCCTATTCTTACTATTCTTATCTCACTTCATGTCTTCATGAGACCCCCGCGCGCGCAAAAGGAGCGCCGGCCATTGCGCGCGGCGACGGCGACGGCAGCAGTGCCGGGTCCTGCAGAACGTGCGGCGCAAGCGGAGCGCGCACGGCAGGAGGAGCGTGCTGCGCAGCACAAGCGCGCACGGAAGGCAGCAGCACGGGTGCAGCGTGCAAGTGCGGAGCTCGGCCTGCACCAGAAGCTGCAGATGGACAGGGAGCTTCGGACGCTGGAAGCATGGGAGGGCTGGAGGGCGGCCGAGCGCCGGCGGCGGCATCGGCAGGATCGCCACGGCTGCTTGTGGGAGGGGAAGATCAAGGAGTCCGGCTGGCTGCATAGCGCCCTCTGGAACTACCGCACGGAGATGAAGGAGACGGAGATGAACCCGGTGATGAAGACGGTAAGAGAGGAGACGGACCTCGACCTGTTCTTCTTCGGCATGGGCCTGAGCCCGCCGAAGACTCGCAAGCCGCGGCGATCACGCCCGGTGCGCGCTTGAGCAGCTCAGGCGTCGCAGGGCGCAGGCAAATGGCGCGGGGCAAGAGAAGCGGAACGTGAACGGAGGGCAGAGGTGACGGCATAAGGCGACGGCGAGCAAGGACGCTGCACAAGGTACAGGCCAGACGGCCCCCTGAGGCAGGAACGGCGAGGGCAACGAAGGGAGCGGGGCACGCGACTTGGTGCAGGAGCGGCGACGGAGGCATCGCACGCGCGAGGGTGGCCAAGTGAAGCAGTGGCTGCAGTAGGCAATCAGGGTGGAGAGAGGCTGCCAAAGGCACTCGCCTCGCTCCGACAGGAGCGAGAGAGAAAAGGGTCGGGCCCCTCTCGCAGCGGTGTAAGCATAACGGCTCGAGGGTCTCCCCTCGGGCCGGATGCGCAGTCCCTCACTCTTTGCCTCGGGGGCGAAGGCACATGCCCGCCTCTTTTGCATCTTCCTGTGGATCTGTCTGCCCTCGTGTCACAAGCGTTCGCCTTCGCCTTAGCCGTTCCGCATCACAGCTCCTGCCTTCGCTCCCTAAGACACTCTCAAAGTCCTGGGCCTTGGGGGCATACCCGAAGCCTTCCAAGTCCAGTGTCTGAGCGAGCCGCCGTCGAAAAGCCTGATCTGAAGTCCGAAGAACATGCTCCGCGACACTCACAATACTGCCCCAAGCCCGCTGCGCCCCCTCTTGTCCACACCCGTCCGAGTCGGCTCTTCTCTCTTGTCTCTCTCGCTCCGCCTTGATCACATGCCTTGACCCGCACCGAAGCCATAAGTGCGAGGCAAGTTGAGAGGGAGGCAGACCCTTAGCTTTCAATTGATCGCTGCGCTCAACACTGTGTGACTATCTGACTGTGTGAAGAAGAGCGACGCGTGCAGAAAGCTGCCTGACGATGACGACGACGCTGAGCCGCGACGCGACGTCGAGGAGACGCCGCGATGACGACGCTGCCCCGACATCAATACTGCCTGCTGTATGATGCTGACTCTGCGCCTCTGGGTGCACTGTGGCGCTGACACGGCGCTGCGGCGCTGGCGGAAAACGAGCGATGCAGCGTGCCGCGCGTGCCACGCCGCAAAGCTCACCGATGATGACGACGACGCTGCAGCCGCGACGCGACGTCGAGGAGGCGCCGCGATGACGACGCTGCCCCGACATCGATACTGCCTACTGCCTGATGCTGACTCTGCGCCTCTCGGTGCGCCGTGACGCTGTCACGGCGCTGCGGCGCTGGCGGAAAACGAGCGATGCTGGCTTGCGCGCGGCGCGGCGCTGCCTGCTGCCTGGCGCCGAGCGCGTCGCCGACGGCACAGGCGGCGCACGATGCACGACGAGGAGAAGTGTGACGCATGGCATTCGAGCTGCGCACGACGATGACGAAGAAGAGGCGGCGGTGGAGAGGATGGGTGCTCGCTGCTTCGCTGCCTGGCTGCGGCGCTCGCTGCGCTGCGGCTGCCTTGCCGCGCTGGCCCGGCGTCGGCGTCGGGTGCAGGACGAGGCGGAGGAGGTGGAAGAGAGCGAGAAGGTGGCGGAGGAGGAGGAGAAGAAGGAAGAGGAGGAGGAGGAGGAGGAGGAGGAGGAGGAGGAGGAGACGATGCAGAGCAGAGGTCGTGGCGAGACGCGAACGGCATCGAGCGGCGCGCTCGAGCGTTCGCCGCTTCGAAGATCGAAGCGGCGGACGCTCGCGCCTCGCCTCGATCGCCCTCGGTGCACTTCCGCGCCGAGGCGACTCGCAGGCGGGCACTGCAGCAGCGTCCTTCAGTACGTTCCCGGAACGCACTCACGGAGACAGACGAGGTGCCGCTGGCCTCGACCATCTTGAAGAGGGCGGCTGGCAGAGCGCAGGCGCAGCGCGCTTGCGCTCGGGCTGCGAGGTGTGTGACGGTGTGAAGCTGCTCGCTTGCTGGCTGATGCTGCCCACTGCCTGCTGCTGAGCATGCGTGATGCTGCACGCGTGCGGTCGGGGCAGAGAAGGAGGAGATGACGCCGCGACGGCGAAGAGCAAAGGATGTGGTGGTGGAAAAGGCAGCGCGCTGACGCTCTCGGGCCGCCGCCGCGGCGCGACGTCGCGCCGGCATGCGCGCGCGGCGCCAGAGCTGGCCTGTTTGGAATTGAACAGGCCAGCTCTGCTCAGGTGCATCTTCCGCGTCGCCGGCGACGTGGATCGCTGCTCCACGCACTCGTCCTCGCCTGAGCGACAGAGCAAGCTCGCCGTTCGGACAGCTGAGCCTCGAGCTCGAGGCTAGGCCACGCACGCGGCCTACTTGAGAGCATAGGCCGCGTGCGTGGCCTCGCGTCTCACTTAGCATGCCGTCCTTAAGTGAGACGCAAGCCCTGCTCGGACCCGCCTTCGCGTCGAGCATCCCACGCCGCTGCTAGCTGGGCAGCGAGAGCGACGCTGGCTCTGCGTCGCATCGAACGCATTGCTCGCTGCGCCACGCTCATCGCACTCGCTCGGCGAGTGCTCGTGCTCGTGCTCGTCACGCCTCGCGGACCTCGCGCTGGCTGGGTGCGCGAGGCGCCTCGTGGACGTCGCCGGACGCTTCTCCTTCTTCTTCAGCTGCACACGTGTCACGTTCCTTCGCCGCTCTCGCCCATGTCAACGTCCATCGCTCTCTAAGCCGATGACCTGCGCTGACCAGCCGCCGAAGAAGCTCATACGATGACTTCCACTCGAGGCCTCGTTCGCCTTTCCACGCCGAGAACGGAGAGTAGTGGAGAGGGCGTCTATGTGTGGCATTACGTCGTGACTTTCGTGTGACTATGGCGTCCCGGCATCGTTCTTCTCAGCGTGCGTCGCCTTCTCTCCTTCCTTCTGCTTCTCCGCTCTGCGCTCCCTCGACGAGTGCAGCGACTGCGAGGCGAAGAACGCAGCGGCCGTCAGCACGGCGATGCCCGCCATGACGACGCCGGCGATGGTGGCGCCTCGGAAGCCGCGCTGCTCGTCGGTGCCGTTGCGATTCGTGTGCACCTCGACTGTGCCTGCGAGCGTCTCAGTCAGAGGCAGTGACGTGGCTGGAGAGCGAAAGGCAACTCACCGGCGATGCCGAGGCCGATCGAGATCGAGTAGTTGACGAACGTGGCCACGATGGAGGCAGCCAGGCCCTGGTGCTCCTTCGGCATGCTGTTGCTGAGGATGAGCGTCGACGCCGGGAAGGAAATGTCCATGCCAAACGGCGTGAGGAGTGTCGAGACGAAGGCTGGCCAGAAGAAAGGTCAGACAAGGCTGCGAGCGGAGAATGACACGGGCACGCATGGCTCACCCTGACCCCAGTAGATCTGGCCGACGGGCCGGAACGCCATGACGGCGCTGCCCACGAAGAAGCCGAGCATCGAGATGAGCAGCAGTGCGCTCGGCGGCACGCGATGGAAGAGCGCTGCCGTCGCCAGGCCAGCGACTAGGCCCGCAAAGCAGACTGGCGAGGCGCGAGCTGTGATGAGCAGGCCGTTGGCGCCCTCGAGCGTCATCTGCTGGTAGTAGTAGAACACCCAGACGCCAAACGAGCCCCAGCCGCCGACGAGGCACGCCAGCACGAAGCTCGTCGAGCCGGAGAAGGTGTGGTAGGGCAAGATCGGGTGCCCCACGCGAGGCTCGATGAAGAGAAAGCCGCCGAGCAGCAGCAGGCCGAGGATGAGAAAGACGAGCACGTAGGAGGTGTCCCAGCCGACGAGCGGCGCTTGGTTGAAGGCGAAGTTGACGAAGCAGAGGCCGAGAACGCCAAGCAGGGCGCCGGGCAGATCGAGCGTCCGAGAAGCGTGCTTGAGCGAAAGACGAGGCGGCGCGACTTCGTCTGCGGGAATGACGAGCAGCGTGCCGACTGCCAGCGCGGCGCAGAGGATGCAGAGCAGGTAGTACGCCCACTGCCATCCTACCGTCTCGGCGAGCAGACTGGCGAACACAGCGCCGACGATGAAGCCGCTTGGCGCACAGGCGCCGTACAGACCAAAGGCAAGCGCCTTGCGTGGGCCGTTGCGGTACGTGCGTCCGAGAATGGCGAGCGAATTGGGCAGGAGCAGCGCGGGCCCGATGCCCTGGATGGCGCGGAAAACGTCAAAGGGAATGATCGTCGGCGCGTACGAGGAGAGCCCGCAGCCGAGTGACCCGAGCGAGAACCAGACGTAGCCGATCACGAAGAGTCGACGATGGCCGTACACGTCACCAAGGCGCCCAGCGATGAGGATGCAGGCGCCGACTGCGAGCCGCGTGCGTCAACCTCTGGCCCTGGGTGCGGCAGCTGGCGCTCGACTCACCAGTCAAGCTATACGCAGCCGCCGTCCAGCTGAGCTGGCCAGCATCGCTCACTCCAAACGAAGCGCCAATGACATGCAGTGGCGCGATGTTCTGTCCCAGTGCCGCCTGCGTCAGGAGCTGGGTGGAGGTGATGAGGAGCAGGAAGATGATCTCGCGCGGCAGCGACATGTGCACGCCGAGGAACGGCGAGGAGTCGTCGATCGCGCCTGCCGTGGGCTGTGCATCCTCGAGCGGCACATCGGACGGCGTAGCGGCCCGCCCATGCCGCCCAGCGCCCTCGAGATGCTCCTGCGAGCGCGACACGCCCGTGGAGGCCTCGCTGCTCGCAACCGCCATGGCGGCAGACGACGACGTGCCGAGCAGAGAGGCTGGTGTGCGGAGCGGCCGGCACGAGTAAGGTGTGCTGGGTGAGCCGAGCGACGATGGTGGTGGTGGTGCGGAGCAAAGCGAGGGTCCGGATGAAGCGGCGGGTGCTGATCTTAAGGGCTCGCGGTTCTTCCGCCAGGGATTTTTGCTGCTGTGGAGGCCGCGCGCCGCTCGCGCCGCGGCGCCCTTTCCCAGATGGGCGCGCGAGCAACACGCTCGTCCCTCCTTAACTCCGGACCGAGGTGTGCCCGTCTCTCAGATCCGTCGCTCGGTGCCGCAAGCGACATGGTGCGACACGCCCGAGCACCTGCTGTCCTCGTCTCGGACGCTGACTGGCAGACGTACCTGCAACAGCCGCTGACAGAGTGCAGCTGCGGCGGACAACACGCCTTGCGCCGGACACGAGATGCGCCTGGCGGACGACCTCGCAGCGACCTGAAGCATGCAGCAACGCTAGCAGCATGCTTTCTCGCCCGAGGTCGAGGCAGCCATGAGGTGAATACGGCCTGCATCTAGCACGTTCGAGAGCAGCACGTCCGCCGGTGGCGGTGCTCGCCTTTCAGCTGGCAGAAGGAAGCGTCTGGCGCGAGGCACTCGTCAGGGGGCACGCCGTCTCGCCGCCGGAAAGCGCAGCAAGGCACGCCGCGAGTCGAGGACGCCTGAGCAGCACGAATCCACGCTCCTTCTTCTGGCCGCAGCAGCATCATCACGACCGCCCACCTCTTGAATGCTGCGCCTAGCTCGACGCTCTCCAGCCTTCCTCTCGGCGTCGCCTTGCGAGCTGCCAGTAGCAGCTGCCCTCTGAGCGGCAGAGAAGAAGGCCGCCGAGGCTGATGAGAGAAGCTGTGCTGCGCTGGCCGCGCTGGCCAGCTCGAGCAGCAGTAGGGGGTAAAGTGGCAGGTCCAACATCCACTGCGCCTCGGCCTCGCCGCGCTGCCGCCCTCTCGCGACCGGCTGTCGATGCCCGCGCCAGCTCGGCCGCGTTCGGCACGGAGGTGTTGCTCTCGATATAGCACCTCGCCTTCTCGGCGCATGGGCGGACGAGCAACATCTACCCGCTCTTCGAGGTGGAGAAGCCCAGTGTTGGTCTCGTGAGCGTCGAGCTCGGTGCAGCGCTTCACTCCTTGCTTTCTCTCCACTCTCGCTTCTCGTACCTCCTCTCATCGCGCAGCTCCACGCGAACCCGACTGTGCATCACCTATCATGAGCTTCGCACTAGCTCCTCGAGCGCCTCTTCCTTCTCCCTCTCCCACTTCCCCTCCTCCCTTTCTCGCAGCCGCAGTCGCTGCGCCGCTATCTCGACGCTGCGATGACGGTCTCTGTGCGCTCACCACAACGACGACCCTCTACTGGACGCCTTCTCCCTCGACGTCCACCATCTGCAGCACCCTCACCTCCTCCACCTGGATCGAGAACGTCTGGGAGACGGCCTACTCTACGAGCTGGAGCACGCTTACGTTGCAGGCTACGCCCGTGCCCGTCGAGACGCGCACTAGCACCGTGTATACTACACGCACCAGCACGACGACGGGCATAGCGACGGGGAGGCCATGCTGTTCGAGCTCGAGTCGAAGAAGAAGAGCTATGGAGAGATGGGATGCGGCGAGAGTAGAAGCGAGATGGGCAGGCGACGACGTCGTCACGTCTACGGCCACGCTCGTGGAGCAAGCGACGACGACGGCATGGTACACTCCTTCCTCTTCCTGGGCGCCCAGCCCAACGCCGACATGGGACGCAGGACAAGGGACGTGCGACATGAGCTGCTACGACTCTCCCTCCACCTCCGACGATGGCGGACACGGCGATGCAGAGCAGACGCAAGGCAGCATCGCTTCGCAGTGCGGCTGCTCCTTTGCGTGGATCAGCCTCTTCTTCGGCGGTGTGCCTTCGAAGGGTGGCGACTTCTTCGCGTAAGTCGTGACTCTCTTGGCCTGTCGAGAGCGCTTCGCTCACCATCTTCTCTCGACACGCAGCTCGGTCATCTTCTTTCGTGAGGCATTCGTCTCGCCTCTCCCGGTCACAAAGCTGACCAGACATCGCAGTGGCTTTCACTGCACTTTTCCTCATCGCCTCCTATCGACTCTGGCACTGGGCAGCCGTCGACAAATAGTGCGTTCCTCTCCTGGTCCCGCTTCATCTCTGTTCGCCACTGACGCAAGAGATCTCGCAGCGTCTTCATGAATCTGCTCCCACTCGTGCTCGCCTGCTTCATCCTGCTCATCAGCATGGCTACACGGTACGTGCCTCTATCTCCCTCTCTCCATTGTCCTCGCTCATCTCGTCGCAGTGTCTACGCCTCGAACAACACGCCTTCAACCTCGCACCTCCTCGCTTTGCAGCTCCTCTCTTTCCTGGCGCTGCCTCTCCTCGTCGATCCCTGTCTGCAGCTCGTCGGCTTGCTCTCTCGCCGCGCACAGCCCGGCGGCTATCTCGATCTGGGCGCTGCCTTCTGCCGCACCATGAACGGCGTCGGCCTGCTGCTGTACTGTGTTGCTGGGGCGGTGCAGATCGTTTGTGAGTCCAGACGTGATGATGGAAGAGTAGAGCATAGCTGATGAAGGAAGGCCAGTCGTCAACAACTTGGAGCGCGGCGGAGGATCCTGCGATGCTGCCTCGCTCGCAACGTTACCCTTCGTGGCCGATCTGCTGGTGCTCATTGCACTCATCTTCAGTCTGCTGCTGTGAGTGCCTCTCGCCCCTTCTTCGTTTGCGTGCTTGTGCCCTCGCTGACACGGCAGCGTGACACCTCGCAGTGTGATTCTTGCGAGACTACGCAGCTATCTCGAAGGCTTCATCCTCATCCACCTCGGCGTCATCCATCTCTTTCTGCTCACGTGCGTTTGCCTCTTTCCTCTCTCTCTCTACTCACGAGCTCACCTCTCTCCTCGCAAACAGCGCGACCGTCGTCCGTCTCCTGCGCGACGTCTCGGCCGTGCAGATCGCAGCGCGCGGATGGGCACACTGGAGCCCTCCGAACGCAGCAACGCAGCTCGTTGCTCAATGCTGGAGCGGCGCTCGCTCCATCGATTGGAGTGCTCTACGAGCGATCCGAAGCGGCGCAGATTCACCACTTGCGTTCTGGGTCTTCTGGGTGCTTTGCTTGCTGTACGTTCGCCCGCTCCCTCTCCCCTCGCGCTCAGCGACTGACGACTTTCTCTCTCTCTCTCTGCCCCTCCGAGCACAGGCTGGCAACGCTCTTCCTGCTCGCCGTCAACCTCCCAGCGTACACTTCCTCCTCTCCGCCTCCAGCTGCCATGCCCGACTCGGCGCGCTATCAACTCTGCTACGACACCTCTGGCGGAGCAGCAGCTTTCAAGCGCGGTGCGTTCCTCGCCTCCCTCTGCCACGTCTTCCTTCCCTTAGCTGCCGCACAGCTGACGCGAGCTTCGTCTGCGCTCACAGTGGAGAACCCCGGCGCGCCAACGCTTCCGACGGGCGAGCCGCTGTACGAGCTCATCCGCGGCGATGATGGCGAGTGGAACGTCCGGCAGGCCACTGCGCCGACCGTGGGTGGGCCGGGCAGCTACGCCACCTTCACGCCTTGGTACCGCTAGCCTGTGCGCAGCGCCGAGCATGCCCCTCATCCTCTCCCTCTTCCTTCTTGATGTTACCCCGCCTCGCCTGCCCCTGCGCTTTGCCATGCCATCTCTTGCATCTCCTGCTGTCAGGCGTGCGCCTCTTCGCATGTGCCTCCTCGCTCACCTCTTCCCCTCTCTGCACGGCTCGCTTGAGCCTCTCTCCTCGCCTCCAGCTTCAGCTTTCACAAGCTTCACGCATCACTCGCGCTGGCATGAGGTATCGTCTGTTCTCTTTCGTTTCGTAAGAAGCTAGGTCGACAGCGACGCGGAGAAAGGTGGTGGCTCAGAAGGGGGGTACTAGGTGTGAAGGCAAACGGCGGAAGACGGTCGAGCAAGGATGCGCAAAGATGGGTGGTGCCCCCTTCTCAAGCTGGATAGAGGGGCCCGTTGACTTCGCTCTCCGAATCGACTGGCGGCTTACGAGCGTGGGTTGTGCTCTGCGCGCTCAGTATTTGAGAATGATGTAGAGGGCGTGGATGATCTGAAGAGGGAGGAGGAGTCAGTGTGAGCCACGAGAGAACGAAGTATGAGAGATGGAGAGGTCGGGGTGCTGGCTGAGCCGAGGGCGGCGCAGGGCGCGCGGCAACAGGGCGCATGGCGACAGGGCCCTTGCCGCTATCTCCATGGTCTCCATCGCCCTGCCTTGCCGACATCGAGGAGGCGCTCGTGCCTTGCCATCCTCGAGTCGACTAGGCCCGAGCGGAGTGCACACCGCTTTGCACTGCCCATCTGCTCTCCGTCGCCCTCCATCCGTCCGACTCTGCTCGCCCTCCGCCTCGCCTCTCTATCCCCATACTCACGCCAGGGATGTAACCAAGGATGGTCAGGAGCACGCTGCGAGTAGTCACATGTCAGCACGCAGTCACGATGCGCAGGTAGGCGCAGAGGAGACTCACTTGATCCAGAAGTCAGCCGTGCAGCCGCGCTCGAGGAAGACACCGAGCGGCGGCACGAAGATGGCGAAGAAGATCTTGACGACTGATGACGACGATGGGCGAAGCGAGGCGCAGCGAGGCAAGGGAGTGAAAGGGAGAGAAAAGTGATGTGTCAGCAAATGCACCTGGCCCACACAGGAAGTGGATCAAGCAACCCTTGCCGGCCATGAGCTGCGTGGCGAGCCAATCATCTTCGTGCGCACAGCAAGACGCCGATTGACAATCGACGTGCATGTGCGCACGGAGATGACGGGCTCGCCATGCAGCTCCTGGATGGCAGAGGCGGAGGCGTGTGCCAGAGCAGGCGTGCGCCGGCGCACAGAGTGAAGCGCCAGACGAGGGGCGGACGATGTCTGCGGCCTCGCGACAGAGGAAACCTGTCTCGAGCCGCTGCTAGGATGCGGCACTGCGCTGTGCTGGAGGCGCAGGCCCGGAGCCCATGCAGCTGCTGTGCATCCATCTGCCTAGACGTGTGCCTAGACGTGGAGCGCGCGCAGACGCGCGCTGGTCCCTGTACCTCAAGCGCACGGCTGCGATGCCAGGGCTCTCCTTTGAGCGACAGCGGCGACGACAGCGCCGTGCACGGCTCGACGACTCCTCGTACGCAGCAACAAGCAGCGAGCAGAACGGCAGTAGTCGAGGGGCATACGCACTGTCAGAGCAGGTGAACGGCATGTTGGGCAGATGATGGGTGGTGGATGGTGGTGGGGTGCGAAGCGTGGCTGAGGCGAGACGGGCGCTTTATACGCTGCGTGAGCTGCGCACGTTTTGCGCGGGCCCGCCGCGCAGGACGGAAGCAGAGGCACGCAGGCGGCACAGCCATCGAGCGCCGAGCGCACCCTGCGCCAGCAGCGCCAGCATCTCCGCTGCCGGCGTGCCGAAGCGCCCGACGTCGTCATCGGCGCTGCTGCGACGCTTGGCTGCTGCTCTCTCCTCGCGCTCTTGCCCTCTCGGCACCGCACCTGGGCCGCTGAGCTAGTCTCAAGCCACACCCTCTCTCGCAGCGCACCGAGCGTCGTCTCGGCACATCCACCGCGCACGCTGCGCTGCCGCGCTGCTGCGTCTGGGCAAGCGCACCGCCTCGCGCTGCGCACCTCGAGATGCCGCCGGTCCACGCGCGATGACGCAGCGGCGCTGCGCCGCGCCGATCTTGGCTCTCTCTCTCGCTTGCCGCCCGCCCCTATATCCGGCCGCACGTGACGGGCCTCCTCCTCCGCTGCGCCATCCTCGGCAGGCCTTGCTCGCCGCGGGGCAAGGCAAGCTCTTGGCAAGCCAGCCCGGCGTGGCTAGCAAGCGGCTCGAGCGGCCCGACGCGGGCGGCGGCGGGTCATGCATGAGGCACGCTGAGGAAGGGGTGCTTGCCGAGCCTCGGGCCATGTGTTGGTCTCGAGCCTCGTCACAGCGATGTCGGGCCTCGCCGCACGAAGCAGACACACACGTCTCTATGCCTCAGCAAAGCGCGCGTTCGCCAACATGTCAGCAGCTCGGCTCGCTTCAGCTCGAGGTGTGCTGCCTGTGAGGAGCTGCGCGAGAGAGAGAGAGGACATCGCTAGCTGGCGTGAGCGCCGCGGTGGAGGTTCGCTTTGAGCGTGGGAGCAGCTGGCGCGCCCTCAAGGTGCACGGAGCACCCCGCTTCGCGCCGTTGCTCTTCTCTTCATCATCCCAAGTCGAGCCTGCAGACGACGCCAGCGTGAGGCAGCTCAAGGCACTCAAGGCTCGTTCTGCGCCCAAGCACAGCCAGCTCAGCTCAAGCGCGACGAGCAACACAGCCAGGGGTGCAGCCGCAGCCGAGTTCGCTCCACTTTCGCCTCACTCGCCTCAAGCATGTCGCTCGATCCACTGCAGCGTCTGCCCCTCGAGCTCTCTCTGCATCTCTGTTCTTACCTCCCTCTCTCCACTCTCTCCTCCTTACATCTCACCAGTTCATCCTGGCACGCCTTCCTCGACGCCCACGCCGAGATTCTCTATCGCTTCTGCGCCTACGAGCTGCTCGCGCCGGCGCGTCAGGCAAGATGGACGACGGGCAATGGCAAGGGCAAGGCGCCGTTACGGGGCGATGAGAGTCTGGAGACGCTGCTTGGCGCGAAGCAGAACGTGAGGCCAGAGTACTGGAACGTCGAGGGATGGCGAGAGTTCTGTGCGTACCGCTTCTCCCTCGCAGCTCGCTCGCCGCACCTGACACGCCCCGCAGGCAAACGCAGCGTACAGCTCTCTCAGCAATGGGCCTCTCCCACGCCCATCATCTCCTCCAAGCATCTGCCCCTCTCTCATCTCATCTGGCGCTTCCGCATCGACTTTTCCGCGCGTCTGCTCATCTCCACCGCACATCAAGGCGGGCTATTTGTCCACGATCTCGACGATGCGACGCTGCTGTGGTCGCTGCCGAAAGATCAGGTGGACGGTCATGCGCACCTCGAGTATGATGATGGCACGCTTGTGTATGATACGGGAGAGAGGAGCCTGAGAGCTTGGAGACGCGCGGATTTGATGGGCGTCAAGGATGTGAGTTGGAGCGAGGCAACGACGCAAGAGGTGCTGACGCTGGTGAGAGCAGGCAAAGAGAGGTCACTTCATCCAGCTCGACAAGGACTTGACTCATCCCGTGCGAACGCGAGGCTTTCAACTGCGCTACCCGTGCGTTGCCTCTCTCCTCACTTGCTCTACTCTGCTGATGCGTGCTCGGCACCTGGCAGCACCCTCTGCGTCGTCTCGGACATGGGCCAAGCCTTCATCTGGGATCTCTCCCTCTCCACGCCCAAGCTGCTCAGAACGCTTGATATCATCCCGGGAGCAGTAGGACATCTGGAGCAGAACGACACGCACGTCTTGTTCTCGCTCGGCCGTGAGTGCTTGCGCTTCTCCTTGCGCTGTTGATGGCTACGCTGACGCTAGAGACAACCTATGTCTGGTAGTGCATGGCTATCACTTCTACGCCGAGGACAGCGACGCGGACGATGGGCGCATGCTCAACCCTGCCGATCTCGAGCTGAACGGCGCAAACATCTTCCACGTCGAGCACCAGCGCGTCGACACGCCGGCAGCGCCCATCATTCCTGATCGCGAGCGCAGCGGCAGCAGTGGAGGCAGCGACGGCAATGCCTCGACGCTGAGTAGGGCAGACCATGTGGTGCTGCGCGTGCGGCCGGGCCCGTATCCCGAGGCAAAGCAGGGCGGCGAGAGGCGAATGCATCTGGAGGACGACGAGTGGGGAGCGGGGATGATTCGAGGAGCAGTGTTCGTCGGCGTCAGCAAAGGGTGAGTCTGTGACATGCCCTTCAAAGCACAGTACAGCGAGTCGCTGATTGCTCGCCGTCATGGACTCAGAGGAAGAGTGTTGGTATGCACCGACTGGCCGGGCTACTTGGATGGCAGCGCGCAGGCAGATACTTGCGTGTCGATCGTGGAGTGCCTGGAGCCTAGTGCGTCCTCTCCATCTCCTCTCTTTGCGCAGGTAGATCAGGCAGAACTGACGAGGCCGCAGCAGATGGGCTACAGGATCTCGGCGGGTGGCTGACGATGGGCGCTGGAAGGGCGGCGTTTGAGGTGCAGTGAGTCTCTTGCTGCTCTCCTGATCTCTTCGCGTCTCGCTAGTGCTGACATCGTCGGCGGCCAGTGATCGAGTCTACATCCTCCAGCTGCCCACACACGGGCTACTCGATGCGTCAGACCGCCAGCCGGTACTGCATGCGCTGCAGTCGAATGCACACGTATGTTGCTGTTGCCACTCTCTCGCCTTCGCACCTGAACCCATGCCTGTGCTCCACGCAGCCCAAAGTGCCGCTGCCGATCTCCTTCATGCAGCTAACCGAGGTACGTCCTGCCCTTCTCCCCTGTACCTCTCCACTGACGCCCTCGCACAGGACTCGCTCCTGACAACGTACGCGTGGATCCAAGTCGTGCGCGCACCGCACATCCACATCGAGGTGCAGAAGTCGGTGCGCATCGCCAGCTGGGCGTACTTGGAGGGTCAGCAAGCTGGATGGACGACTACGGGTAATGAGAAGGAGGGAGAGGAGGAGGAGAAGGTCGCTAAGGCGGCGCTTTGGCTTGAGGTTGGAGAGGAGGAGAGCGAGGCGGAGGATGAATGAATAAGAATGGGTCACGCGCGAGTCGCAGAGCACCTGAGACGGACCCCTTCAGGCGCAGCTGTAGCTCGGGCGAGCACATGTATGCTACTTTGTACTTCCGCTGAGCGACCTCTTGATTCTGCGCCAGACTTGAGCGCTGCTCACCGAGATGCAGCTGCGGAGGAGGGCAGAGAAGCGTCTCCTCGGCCATGCGCGCGTCGGCGAGGCGCGGAGGCTTTGCGCTGCGAGATCCCGCGGAGGCGCCCTCCACACGCCGCTCCGCCCAGATCTGGCTTGCTGCCGCGCCCGAGGAGAAGCATCAGCAGCAGCGTCAGCGTCTCCATTCGCACGCCGTCTTGGCGCGAGTAGCACTGCCTTCAGATCGCTCAGGCAAGAGAGGCATGCGCTCCGCTTCATTCCGAGAGCGAGGCATGCCCCGCTCAGGAGGCGGAGCGCCAGGGCCGAAGAGCTGGCGCGGGAAGCTCTAGCCGGCGGGCGCGGAACTCGGACTCGCTCGTCGGACTGCCGCAGCCGAAGCTGGTGCTGCTCTTGCATCCCTCAGCAGGGGAGTCAGCTTGCTCTCTTGCTCTCATGCTGTGCGGCTTGCCGTGCCCGAGAGCGAGGAGCCCCACACCGTCAAGGGAACGCTCCGAGGGCGGCTTGCTCGAGTGAGATCTGTTCCGGTGCGCGCCGTGGTACGGCCGCGGATGCACGTCACCGGCTGCCGCCGCACCGCACGCCGTGCTCCGGCGGGCGGGAAGCGCGAAGGGACGCGCTTGCGCCGCATTGAGCCGCGGCTCGGCGCAGCCGAGGAAAGGGAGCGGCGTCATGGCCACTTTTGACGCCGCAGCCGCAGCTGCAAAGGCAGCCCCTTCCCTTCCTCGCTCGTCCCTGGCTCGCCGCTCTGCCTCTCACTCCCACAGCATCCTCGCAGCAGCAAGCACACCCGTCTCGCATCCATCGCAGCCCCGCGCTGCACCCCGCACCCACCATGGCCGCCATGCCCGAGCTCGACCGCGAGTCGTCGCGCCTCTCCAGCGGCTCCAAGTCGCGCACGTCGCGCGCGCGCAACGCCGCACACCGCGTCTCGTACCGCGGCGCCTCGAAGCTCAAGCAGGTCGCTTCGCACGCGCGCGCACGCACCGAGGGCGACAAGGGCGACGCCGCGGCCGAGGCACAGGCGGCCAATGCGCAGATCAAGGGCTTCGAGGGTGTCTTTCCCGTGCCGGCGGCCGGCTGCCGGCCCAAGCCGCCCGCTGCGCTCTCGCCGTCGCAGCAGGTGGCGCTCGACGGCATGCTCTCGCACTTCCGCGACACGAAGCAGTTCCCCACATCGCTCAAGCCCGACGCAGAGCAGCGCGAGGCAAACGACTGGGAGAAGCTGCGTCTGCTCTCGCGCGAGTCGCTGCTGCGCTACCTGCGCGCCAGCAAGTGGGACCTGAGCACGGCAAAGAAGCGCCTGACAGACACGATTGCGTGGCGGAGGGAGTTTGGCGTGGATGAGCTGGTGGATGAGGAGATGAGCGAGGAGGCAAAGTGCGGAAAGGAGACGGTGCTTGGATACGACAAGCATGCGAGGCCATTGCACTACATGCATCCGCACCGCAACGACACGAAGGTGAGTCGTCAAGACGAAGCAGCTTGCGCGTGGGCTATAGCTCGCACGCGAGTCGGCGCTGATGCCGCCGCTTGCCTGGTCATCAGGAGACGCCAAGGCAGATGCAGTTTGCCGTCTGGATCCTCGAGCGTTCCGTCGACCTCATGCCGCCGGGCAGCGAGCAGCTGGCGCTCCTCATCAACTTTGACCACCGCAGCCGCAACCCGACGAGCATTGCCAATGCCAAACTCATGCTCTACATTCTCCAAGTGAGCAATGCTGCACAGAAGCGCAGCTGCGAGCGCGTGGCTGATGGACTGCCCGCAGAACCACTACGTCGAGCGCCTGGGCGTGGCGCTTTGCATCAATGGTGAGTGCGCGTGAGCATGTGGCACGCAGGACATGCAGCTGACTTGCTGATGTCGCGCACAGTGCCGTGGATCTTCAAGGCCTTCTGGTCGGGCATCCAGCCCTTCATCGACCCCGTGACGAAGAGCAAGTGCAAGTTCGACGAGGCGATCAAGGACGAGGTGCCGCTGGAGCAGCTCAGCGCCGACTTGTGCGTGCAGCGCACAACAGCAAGCGTGCCAGTGCGGCAAGCTGACCTCTCCTTCGCAGTGGCGGAGAGCTGGATCCAAAGTACAACCACGACGCCTACTGGCCCGAGCTCGTGGCAGTCTGCAAGCAGCGGCGCGACGACATGCTTCGGCGCTTCCGCGAGTCGTGCAACTCGGAGGTGGGCGCCTCCGAGTGGGTCATTCTTGGCGGTGACGATGCGGAGGCGCCGTTCAACAAGAAGGACCTGCATGAGCTGGCCGAGGGCGCGGAGGACAAGCAGGCGGTCGGCCTGACGCAGGGCGGAGAGAAGGCGCCAGTGGCACACGTCGATGATGAGAAGGCACGCCAAGCGCGGGAAGAGGCGATTGCGAAGAGCAACGAGCGCGTCGAGGCTGCTACGCCGGCGGCTGGCCTGGGTCCGGACGACACGACGGAAAACCCACTGGAGAAGTTCACGACTGCCGGCCTGGCTCCTGCCTCTCAAGCTGCGGCTGCCGTCACGCCGGGCGAGAAGTACGTCACTCCCATGGCCCAGCCAGCCTCGCACCCGATCGAGCGCGAGTTCGAGGTGCCGCCGTCGCCGGCCTCCGCCTCCTCCAAGGCCATCGAGCGCGTCGCGACGGAGGACACTGCCGTCTCGTCCGGCTCGCGTCCCAGCTCGGCGTCCGGCAAGGCCAAGGCCTTCTTCGGCTCGCTGAAGCGCTCGAACAAGGGCAGCAAGAACGGCAAGAGCAGCAAGCACGACATGCATCACATCGCCGCCGAGATCAGCGCCGGTCTGGGCGCCGGCGCCGCAGCGGCGGCAGCGGCACTGCAGAAGACGGCGAAGAAGCACGAGGAGAAGGCCGAGGCTGCGGCGCGCGAGGCGGAGGCGAAGAAGGCGGAGGAGAGCACGGCGTCGGCCGTCAAGGCAGATGCGGCAGCTGCGCCGAGCGCTGCGACAGCGGCAGAGACGTCGGAGGCACCGCAGGAGGCATCAGACGGCGCGACGCAGGATCCGGACGCCGCTGCAGCTGCGGCCGTCGACGGCTCCGACTCGCCGGCCGCTGCCGCACCCACGCCAGCAAGCAAGCCCGTCTCTGTGCTGCTCTTCGCCTCTGCCCGCGAGGCAGCCGGCACGGCAGCCATGTCGATCACTCTGCCTTCAGCGTCGCTTGCGCTCGCCGACCTGCCGGAGCTCCTGCTCGCTGAACAAGCCAAGAGCAACAAGGGCGACGCAGAGGCACTCAAGCGCATCCTGAGCGCGGCGCAGTGGAGCGTGGATCAGGAGATGGTCGATGAGGAGCAGGTCAAGACGACGCTGCTCAAGGGCGGCGAGGAGGTGGCGCCCATCACGCCCGTCAGCGGCGGCTGAGCGGCTTGCGCGCTTCTCTCGCACCTCTCGGCCACGCTTCCTCCATCATCCCCTCCCTCTCTTCATCCCCCTCCACACACTCTCTTTGCACTGTCCTGCGACCGTCTTACACACGCTTTGGTCACCCTCATTGCCCCCGCCCGCGTATCCACACGCGCCACCTAGTACCCTACCACGCGCGAGACACGACCCAACGAATTCCCCTGCCTTCCAGCATCCCATCCTTGCCGCTGCGCAGCCCCAGTAATCAACGCTTCTCTCACACGCTCCCGCGCTGGGAATCGGATGCGATTGAGGGGAGAGACGAGAGGCATGGAACGTGAGTGTGAGATGCGAGAGTTGTCGTGTGGATGATGGGCCGGCGCGGAGATGGCGTGGGTGGTAGTACAGACCGCTCGAAGCGGGTGGCGAAGAGACGTGAGACGGGGACACAGAGAGAGAGGGCGGCGAGCAGCAGCAGCAGCAGCGTGCGCAGTGGCGCAGGCGGCAGACTACCACTCAAAGTCGGAGGAGAGCTTGCTGAAGACGTAGTCGCGGCCGTCGATGCTCGCGACGCCGTCCTTGAGCACGCACTTCCACTTGTTTTTGACGCGCTGCACCTGCAAAGTGAGGCATCACGGCATCAGTAGCTGCCAGAGAGAGAGAGAGCCACGCGCACAGGTTCGGCCACGCACCTTGTCGTACAGACACAGCACCATGTCCTCTCCCTCAATCTCTCCCACCTCCTGCTCCTCCTCGTCCGAATCATCAAGGTCCGACGTAATCTCATCCGTCGCCTCTGCACGCTTGCGCTTCTCGCCCGCGCGCTCCTTGCCGTTCTTGACGGCCTCGTTCTCCTCCTCGTTCTCCGCACGCGGAGGGCGGCCGCCGTCGGTGCGTGCGGCCTTGCGCGCGTCAGAGGCGGCGCCGGACGACGAGCCCTCGCCGACGTCGGCCTTGCTGGGGTCCACGACGGGCACGTGCGGATGCTTGACGTTGGGCTTGATCTCCTTCTCGCCCTTGCCCTTGCGGCCGCCGGCGCCGCTGCCGCGCGACGGCTGTGCGGCACCGTCGAACTCTGCCACGCCCGTCGCGACGATCTTGGTCTCCCAGCTCTGCAAGCCATGACACAGATCAGCCACCGTCAGGCTGAGAGATCCGAGGTCCATCTCCGTCCAGCACCACTCACGCGCTGCAGCTCCTCGAGCACCTCGCGCTCAATGCCTACATCGTCAAAGTCCTGCCGGATGTTGGCGATGACATCGTCGATGATGGTGCGGTACGTCGCCGACTGAGCCGCGCAGAAGAGCGCATGTTCAACATGCAGCACAGGCCATTGCTATTGCACAGAGCTGCTCACCACAGCCTTGTTGCTCATTGCTGCCCTGCCTCCAAGCCGCTGGCCAGCCGATCCGTGCGCCGGAGTCGCGTTGCGTGTGCGTGCCGATGCGCACAGCAGGAGAGACGTGCGGCGCAGCGGATGTGCTGGAGCTCAGGAGCAGGCGTGGCAGGCGTGAGTGCGAAGGTGTGGCGGGCCGGACGGAGGTGCGCCTCAGGGGGATGATGCGGTGCGGAGGAGAGCTGCGCGGGCGCGCCTTATATACGCCGTGGCGACGGCGGCACAGCCCAGCCGAGGCCGGCCCAGGCGGGGCGCGCACGTGATGCTATTTTTTGGCGGCGGCGCGCGGCGGAGCGCGGCGGGAAGATGCTCAGGCCGCTGCCTGCTGCTCTGCCACAGCCACACCACCACCTCCTCTTGCCCTCTCCTCATCATGGCCAAGGCAGCAGCAGCATCTGCCGACAAGGCGCCTGTGCGCAAGTCGGCGCGCACCTCCAGCGTCTCCATCGCCACGCCGCCCAAGGCCGCGCCCTCCAAGGCCAAGGCCGCCTCGCCCAAGGCCTCGCCCAAAGTCTCGCTCAAGGCGGCCGACAAGGCGCTCGACGCAAAGGCAGCACCCAAGAAGTTGCTGCCGTCGCCCAAGGACGCCAAGAAGCTCGGCGACAAGACGGCTGCGGCCGTCGTCGGCACCAAGCGCGCCGCACCCGCCGCGGCCGCGGGCGAGCCGGCGCCGGGCAAGAAGCAGAAGGGCATCCTCAAGCAGGCCGGCGACAAGGCGGCCAAGAAGAGCCCGCTCGTCTCTGAGGCGCCCGTGGAGTCTGATGCAGAGGAGGAGGAGGCTGACGACGCAGATGTGCTCAAGGGCCTCGAGGTCAGCGGCAGCGAGAGCGAGGCGGACTCGTCGGAGGAGGACGCCGACGAGGACGGCGACAGCGACGAGGAGGACGAGGCGGCGATCAAGAAGGGCCTCGAGAGCATCGAGAAGCTGAAGATGCCCAGCTCGAAGGACGACGTCGAGGTCAAGGCGCGGCTGGATGCCGTCGCGAAGAAGAGAAAGGCTGGACAGGGCGAGGTGAGTGACGAAGCCAGGCGCTGCCCACAGGACTAGGCCGCATGTGTCTCTCGACCGGCGTGTGCTCATGCTGGGTGACTCGCTACAGGTGCAGCCGTCGGTGCTCTACGTCGGTCGGTTGCCTAAGTCCTTCATCGAGCCCGCGCTGCGTTCCTACCTGATGCAGTTTGGCGATGTCCTGCGGCTGCGCATCTCTCGGAATCGGCGCACGGGCGCACCGAAGCACTACGCCTTCGTCGAGTTTGCCGATGCAGACGTGGCGCGCATCGTGCGCGAGACGATGGACAACTACCTCGTCGACGGCAGATTACTGCAGGTGCGAGAGGTGCCCAAGGAGAAGGTGCACCCTGCCATGTGGGTCGGCGCGGGACAGAAGTGGCGAAAGGTGCCGGCGGACAGACGGGCACGAGTGCAGCACGACAAGGTGAGTGGCCCAGCCTTGCTCCTGAGTTGAAGTGCTCTTGCTGACGCTGACTTGTCTCTCTCTGCCGCGCCATCCAGCCAAAGACGGCAGAGCAGCGCTCGCTCGTGGAGAAGAAGCTGCTCGAGCGCCAGGCGAAGCGCAAGGAGGCCATCAAGAAGGCCGGCATCGAGTACGACTTTGAGGGCTACGTGAGTTGCAGCATGCTCCGTCGAGGCTCCTGGCTACGCAGCGTTGCTGACCGCTTGTGCCCCACGTGTGTAGACTGCATGAGGCTTGCTTATTCCGTCACCTGTCCACGTTCCTCGCGCATCATCTCACTACATACTCTTCATGCTCTCGCTGCTGCACTCTGCTGTGCCTGTTCTTGGGCAGCACACGATCTTGCGCGTCTCGCTCGCGCACGCCTCGTGACGCGACCACATCTTCTGCCTGAGAGATGTCGTGCGGCATTGCAGTTGTGTTGTACAAGAGGGGTCGGAGGTCACTAATGATACCGGAAAGAAGCCACGGCGAGGAAGAGGAGCAAGAGCCACGAGCTGCGAGCTAAGCCGAGAGGACCGCCTCGGCGCCGCCGGCCTTCTTGACGCTGTGCCACATCTCGCGTCAGCACGAAGACCTGTCACTCCCTCGCGGCACAGCGTAGAGACTCACGCCCTCCGGATCTCGCCCGCCGTCTTCTGCCATGGATTGTCGACCTTGTCGCGCGCCATGGCCTCAAAGTCGTCGGCGTAGCGCTCCACGAGGCGCTGCAGCCAGCTGCGCTCGGCTTGCGACTGATGCCGCGGCACCGGACGTGCAGTTGCTGCCAGCGCGGTGAGGGCTGGAGCGCGAGCAAAGTGTCAGCTGGTGCGCTCCCTGCGACTGGCAGTGCAGTGCAGCGATCGGCCTGCTGCGCCTGCGGCAGAGCGCCGAAGCGCGACACGTGTGCCGAGCAGCAGCAGCCGATGCGCCAGAGCTCGACGCGCAACTCACATTGAACGACCGGGTTCTCCTCCGTCTGACTGCCCGCAATGTCATCCACCTCCTCGCTCGTGCTCCTCTCCTCTGCCTCGCCGTCCAGCTGCTCCTCGACGCGGCCCAGCGCCTCCATGGGCCGTCCCCACGGCGTCGCACTGGCCGCCGCGCGCTCCTCCTCGCCGTCGTCGACAACCGTCACGTTGCCGTCTGCGTCGCGCACGATGCGCGCCATGCCCTTGCGCACGCCCTTTGGGCCCGTGGGCGCCGACGGCAGCGTGCTGCTGCGCTTCACCTCTGCGCCGCCCGAGTCGCGCAGCGAGAGGTCGGGCAGCAGGCCGAGCTTTGCGTAGCTAGCAGATGCGCACATCAGTAGTAGCCCCAGACGGCGGCGCCTGCGCATGCACACTCACTTCTGCCGCACCGTCAGCTTGCCGTCCCACTGCTCCTTGAGCACGTCGGGCCCCTTGACGGTGGCTGCGCGCGCCAGGCGCTTCTTGATTTCGCGCTTGGCCGACGGCGACGGCTTGTTGGACTTGCCCGAGCGGGCCTTGCGGCGCTGTTGCGGCTTGGCCATGGTGTGTGCGTGGGTGAGGATGTGGTGGTGCGAGAGGCGTGAGGTAGAGGCGGAGGCGCGACACGCCTTGGCTCAGAGCAGGCTGTGCCAAAATTCTGGCTGGGCGCCGCGGCCGCGTCACGTGGCGCGTGGGAGCAGCGCGCGCTTCCTTCTGCGAAGACAGCCGAAGCCGCCGCTGCGCACAGACGCGGCCCGCGGTGCCTCGACTCCACCTCGAAGGGCACGCGGGCACGCAGCGGAGCAGCTTCACATCCACCATCTCCTAACCACACACCCACACTCCATCATGGCACCCATCGCACCTCCCGTCCTCTGGGCACAGCGCTCGTCGGAGGACGAGCCGGAGAAGGTGTGTGTCCTCGCCGCACCTGCTCTTCCTTCGCACCCGCTCACTGCCTGCACGCCGCTCCGCAGAACATCGTGCTCCTGACCATCGAGGCGCCTAACCTGCAGCCGGCGCCCGCCACCAAGCTCGAGCTCAAGCCCACCGGCTTCTCCTTTGAGGCAAAGGTCGGCGACAAGGCAAAGGGCATCGAGGAGAAGGAGTACAAGTTCGACCTCGACACGTTTGGCGAGATCATCCCCGAAGTGAGTGGGTGGCGCGGCAGTGGGAGGGGGCGGCGCGGCGGTGCCGCAGATGAGCGTGGAAAGGCCGTGGGCTTGTCTCAGCGAGAGGCATACGTCCCTTTTCGCCTTGGCTGTGGCACCGCAGCACGCCACGCGCATGCCCCATATCTAGCACGTCTGACCTCCTGCTGCAGGAGTCCAAGATCCACCAGACGACGAAGCACATCTTTGTCGTGCTGCGCAAGAAGGAGCAGAAGCTGGAGTACTGGCCGCGCCTCTCCAAGGACAAGGCGCGGCTGCACAACGTCAAGGTGCGTGTGGCATGAGCTGCGGGCATGCAAGATGTGATTGGGCTCGTTGCTGACACTTGCTTGGACGCGCGGCGCAGACGGACTTCGACAAGTGGGTCGACGAGGACGAGCAGGATGGCGCGGAGGACCCGACGAGCGGCATGGAGGGCATGGGCGGCAGTGAGTTCTGGCCTTCGCACGTCTGCGTCTTCGGGGCCCCTGAGCTAATCGCAGCGCCTCCCTTCTTCAGTGGACCCGCGGATGATGGCACAGATGGTGCGTGCTTCGCATGCTCGCCCGCACTCGAGCTTGGTAGCTGACGCGCTTCCACTCCTAGGGCGGCGGCGGCATGGGCGGCATGGGCGGCATGGGCGGCATGGGCGGCATGGGCGGAGGCATGGGCGGCATGGACATGGCCTCGATGCTGGGCGGCATGGGCGGCGGTGCAGGAGGCGCCGGCGGCATGGACCTCAACGCGCTCAGTGAGTGCTAGTTCTTGGCATCTCTGCGCTTTCCTAGCGAAGCAGCGCTTACCCTCTTTCGTCGCAGTGCAACAGATGCAGGGCGGCGGCGCAGGCGGCATGCCTGACTTCGGCGACGACGACGACGAGGAGGGCGACGATGAGGAGGAGGCTCCGGCTGCTGCTGATGCTTCGGCACCGGCTGCGTCGGCTGCGGACGTCGAGAAGGTCGACTAAGTGCTGTCTCTTTCGCTGCTGCATATGCACACGACGTAGGGGAAGCTGCTCAGATTCCATCGGCTTTCGTCATTCTGCTGCCCCCACGACTGCCTTCGAGCGCTTCTGGAGCATAAGGATGCAAGCACATAATGGTCTGACTCGGCCCTCCGTCCGGGTAATACAAAATCAATTGCTCAAAGCGCGCGATGTGCGCAAAAAGGAGGTGGAACAGAGCGGACCAAGGGTGGTCGTAGCTCGAATGCCTCCCGTCCGTTGTCGCCTTGGAGACTTTCGATTGGCTTGGGGGGGGGGGGGGCATCGAAGAGGCTCGGAAAGGCGGCCCAGACGTCGCACGGCCGACGGCCACGCTGGCTGGGTTCTCTCTCTCTCCTTCGGAGAGCTGCTACTCGGCGCGTTTCCCAAGGAGGAAAAAGCGCAGGGGCGGCGGAAAAGTGGCGTGCGAGAGGCATGAGCTGTCAGCGCGCCTTGAACCAGAATGCGCAGCAACACTGCTGCTCGTGCGATGTTGCGCGCACGCCGCAACCCCTCTCATGAGCCGAGCCTCGCGCCTGCAGCATTCCAGAGGCTAAGCTGGGTGGCTCGAAGGGCGCCTCCTCTGGCAGCGGGGGGTTAGCCTCGTGCGAGGCACGCCCTCCAGCTTTCTCGCTCACGAGAGAGAGAGAGAGAGAGAGAGAGAGAGAGAGAG